TTTTGTCTCTGTTCCCCCATCTAATCCTGACTATATTCTGAATCTTAGGGCTGAACTAGATAGCGGTTGTCTCTTGTTGCTGCTGCTGTTGCTGCTTCTGTTGCTAAAAGCAGCCGTGGAACGGGGAGGGAGGAAATTTAGATGGCAGCAGTAACCTTTCCGTCTGTGCAGATTCCCTGCTGCAAATTGCCCCACTCCCACAGGTGCTATTAGCTGTGGAAAGGAAAATGCTTCGGTCACAGTAATCCCTCTCCATCGCTCTCAGCTTGGGGTGTGGTGGAAACTGGCCAGGTGTCCCCTGCTGCCATCGTCCTGATCCAAGTTGCTGTGTTTTGGCCGAAGCGAAATAAACCTCAGAATCCCAGATGAGATGCTCCTGCACTTTGGATCAGGAGGGTTCTCTCTCCTTCTCCCCAATTTGCATAGTAATATAACATCAGTGTTGCTTTGCGTGTCCTTGGAGTGTCCCACACGTGCCATGTAGCAGAGTGAAGTTACCTGTTTCGGGCAGCATTACAAGGTGGTGGGATAGATGAGGGGAGGAACTGGTGCAGCAAGATTTTTTAAACTGCTGGCCTAGGTGGGGATGGTGGGTTTTGGGTTCCATATGAGGCAAAAAAATGTCTCAGGCTGGCACTGCATCGGCCTGCCTGCCTTTCCCGTACTGGTACAAAGATACTGCGTTAAAGCTAGAGGGAGACTCTGTGCATGATGGTAAAGGTATTTAGTTACATTATGGGAGCTTTTTCTAGAAATGCAAATGACAGCCACAGAAATGCAGTGGGTGGGGAAGGGGGAAGGTGACCCTCCCTGACATCACCGGTCTAATGAAGGTAACTCCCCCAGACTGCCGTTTGCATCAGAAGGGAACTTCCCATACGTGTCAGTGTATTTACTGTCACGTAATTTGATCCTTAGGGAAATTTAATACAACTTGTCTGGAAAATCTGCAGTCTTTCACTTGGAACAGCACACTCTGCCCCTTATGCTTTGGAACAGCAGTCAGCAATAGCATTGCTTTCTGTTTAAGGGAAGCCACCCAGTAATTGAAGTAAAGGAGTCCCTGCAGAGTTACCTCCGCTTAGCCAGCGGCTAATACGGTCTGATGCTCATCTCTGTTTCTGAGGCCTTGAGCCAGTGCTGTCCAAAGATGATCCCATGGTCATGTGGCCAGGATGACGTCTCAGAGCACTGTTGCCTTCCCACCGAGGTGGTACCTATTTATCTACTCGCATTACATGCTTTTGACCTGTTAGGTTGACTAGGAGTTGACAGAGATCACTCCTTGTGGTGGAGGCTGGGCTTGAACCACTGGAATGCCAAGCATTTCTGGTCGACAGTTCCAGCATCATTAAGCCACTGTGCCACCTCTTCCCCTTAGTATTCACTCCCACTCTTATTTCAGCTCTGCCTGAACGCCTTGATAATAAGGCAAATTAGCACATGGCAGCCATGCTGAATCAGAGCAAAGGCCGGCCTTAGCCAGCGCTCTGTTCATACGGGGGCCAACCAGCTGCCCCAGTGGGCAGTCCATGAGTCGGGACAGGCACACAGCAGTGCTTCCTCATCACGTTCTCCAGCATCACAGCCATCCTGCTTCTGATACCAGTGGCAGCATGAGGTCATTGGGCCTGGTAGCCATCAATCACCTTATGCCCCATGAATGTATCTGATCCCCCTTTTAGTGCCATCCAAACTGGAGGCTGCTCCTACATCTTGTGGGATTGGATTGCATGGTCCAGCTTTGCACAGAATCTCCCACCATTCAGCTTTGTGGGGTGACCCCAGGATGCGGTATTATGGTAAATGGCATTAGAGTACATATAGCCACGCCAAACTGGCTTGAAAGCCCAGGCTCAAGATTCTAGACATGCAGTGAGTTGAGAGAAGGCAAAATCAGGGATTTTATCATCATATTGCCAATAACATAATCCTTCAGCAGTTCTTCTGAGGCTACAGAGAGGCATTTAAGAGGCTACAGAGGCTAAGGCTACAGAGAGGCATTTAAGAGCATTAAAACTGCTGTGATAAAGCCATCTTTGCTCATGGTGTGCATATTCCCCCAACCTCAACCACAAATACCCAAAACCAGGGGCTTTAGTGGGGCAGGAAAAATGAGTTTAGCAAACATAACATTGACAATGGAAGTATCATACCACTTTCAAATCTTTTTTTAAACTTCTGTATCTAGCCTAAAGACAGTATAGTTAATGAAAGATTTCTTTGGGGTTGTAATAAGGAGTCTTCTTCCCCAGTATGAAAGGGAGATGATAAAAACCAGCTATTTTCCTTTGTTCAGGCCTTTTACTCTTGTGCTGTGGCATCTGAAGAGAATCTTTTGGGATCAGGGTGGTGTTTGGTACAGAGAGCTGTGATTTTTGAAAGAACAGTGTGTTGCCCGTATAAAAGCATCTGAGTGAAAAGGAATTCTAAAACTCACATTCAGAAAACAGATTGGCTACCTCTGTTCCTGAATGTGCCACTGTGAAGGCGGCCTGGAGCAGACCGATCGATAAGTTCAAACATAATCAGTGCTTTTCCGCTATCGCATTCATCCTGCAATTGCGTCTGACACGATGGAGGCTTTGTGTCCATTGTTGCAAACATGCTTGTAATGGACTAAGCATGTCCTAAATGCTTCCTTAAGGATGCTTTGCTTTTGGAAAAAGTAGTCTGGAGCATTAACAGAAGTGAATTCAAAGTCTAAGTGGGTGGAAGTTGTCTATCCTGCCAGGTTTTTCCCAAGGCCTGTGCCATCAGTTATAAAAACATGCATGAATCAAAAGAAGCAAACAATGCTGTAGTGTTTTATTGTAATCTATAATGCATTGTCTCTTGGAGTTCATGCTCAGGTTAAACTTAACTTTATTTGCTCCTGAAGGTGCTTTAAGAACACTCTGGCAGGTATAATCAGGACGGTTGAAGGGTAACAACAGTAATACTTCCCTTGAAAATTAGCTTATTTTCAAGCTAATTTAAAGAGAGTGTAACATGGAGGGCAGCTGCATGTAAATATTGCAATTATTTAGTTCATGTTTCTACGGGGATAGTGATACCCCATCTCTGTCTCCTTGTTTTTTAAAGGACTTACAACCAGTATCAAATTTCACATTAATATTGTCCAAAAGGAATCTGTAATGTTGCACTGCCTTTTCCCTCCTAATGGCAGTGCTTCCATTCATGTTACCACCCAGGTGTTCCTCCAAACTTGGAATTGCGCCCACAAAAATAGTGTTATAGTGTTCTTTTCCAACTGTCATGTTGCATGCCCAGTATTCATCAGGCTGTATTTTGGGATCAGTCCTCAGGTGTATATATTTAGGGTGTGCAAGCGTGTAGTATTCTACACATTTGAGGATTTCTCAAGCTTGCTGGCACCTCCCCTTGTTTCTGACTCTTTTTCGGCTCCAATCCACTTGACACTTAACACATATGTTCAACTGAGGATGTGATAGTTTCCTTACTGGGTTCTCCGGGTTTGTTTGTTTGTTTTTCAAGTTTGCAGTTCCATTTTCCCCCATAGTAGACCATATTTTCTTTGGAGAATGCAAACAAAATGTGTCTTCTTGTTATCCTGACATATTGCTATTTACTCATATGATTTTACTTTGTGTTACATAAGGCTTTTACTGAAGCTGAATACTTTTTAGTACAATTTAGACCTTTTAGACCTTAGCTTATTCTTAATTGTAACAGATGCTTTCTGAATGTTCACCTGAAATTTTCCCATATAATTGTTGTAATGAGTGAATCAGATTTAACTATCTTTATCTTGCTCTTCTGTTATTTATTTATTTTGTATACCGCACAACAGTCAAGGTTCTCTGGGCAGTTCACAGTAGCTCATTAAAAATACGATAAAAACACACTATGTTAAAAACACATTAAAACCTTTTTCTCACAACATAAGATTTTATATTTGAATTGTGTAGGGAGGTGTATCTTCCTGCCTACATGCAAGCATTTTTGTGGGGTATATCACTCACACCACAGCCCTGGATCCTAATATTAGTCTTGAATATTATAGAAGGGCATCCTCTTAAAATTGGACTTAAAATCTAATTGATCCAGTGGGATGGAACATCTCAGTCCATTGTCATGCCTTCCTGGCCTGGAAACACGCCATGCAGCTGGGCACAGTGACTTAAGTGCTGCACCGAGAAGGATTTTTCAGCACAACCTTATTGAATAGCTATTCATGCCTCTGTACTGCATTTCAATAATGCCTTCCCTCTAGGAGCTCAAGGAGGACTGGCGGTTCCCCACTCCAACTCCCCACAGCCAAGCAGTGGGATAAATGGGGCGCAGAAGTGGTGATGGGCCCATGGTCGCCCCATGAGCTTTAGGGCTAAACCGTGCCAAGCAGGTGCTCAAACCGATCTTAACGATGTGAGTTTTCCCAGATTAATTCACCACGTAGAGTTCAGGAGTATGATTTGTGTTTGTTTGTCTGGCATTGCATTGTTGCGTTCAGTTTCAACTGGATGTATGGCCATTAAGGCGATTGTAGGTAAAAGCAGTAGACCAGCTTTTGAGTTCCACAAAACCCTTCCTCTCGAAGAAAAGAAAAGGGGAAGGAAAATGTTGCTGGAAGGAGACAAGACTAGGGGAAGAAGGGTCTGGAATATATTAAGTACAGTCTTACAGGAAGAGTTGAGGCAGACAAAAGAAAGGACAAATTATGCCAGTACAAAAGATCAAATCTGGAATCCCTAGTCCTAGCCAAACTGGGTCCTGCCATGGTTTTGGTTCACTCTTAACTGCAGGTAAGATTGCAAGCACCAGAAGCTTTTATTACATATACATTAATATATTTTGTTAATATGTATTAATATTAATGCATATTATTAATAAATTAAATATTTCTATGTTTCTAAATGATTTGGGTATAGTTTAAATAATATGGGGAAAATAATATCTCTCAATTGTTTTCTTTACAGATGTAACACCAACTTGATTCTTTATTGATGCCCTTTCTCTCTTTCAAACTTTTATTTTAGGGACATAAAACCTGATAACATCTTGCTGGATGAACAAGGTAAGTGCCCATCATTTCCGGCTATAGTTAAATGCATGTGTGTGTAACCACATCTCGCTAGGAGATTATCTGGAGCTTTATGAAGGTGTAGCCTGGTCAGATGGAAAACAAGTTGAGGCAAAAACCTATTCTCTGTTCTGTGTTTTTATTGAATGGCAGAATCTGACAGTTAATCTGGTCTCCAGACTGGTTTTTTTTTTCCATTTAGAAATTGTAATCCCACTTTCTTGACTTGCTTGAGGGTCCACTTCAGATATGGCTCTCACCTGCTTATTTCTTCATGTGTGAGGGAAGGAGATGGAAGCTTCTACTGGGTTTTGAATAAATTGCAGTGTCCCATGAAGTGTGAACTCATGTTTATTCAAACTGAAGGTGGGAAGTTTTCGTTTCTCCTTTCCCTCACACAAACCAAATGAAGAGAGATGTGAGGAGGAGTTACAGCTCTGTGTCAGAGTGCGTACTTTGCACACAGAAGGACCCATGTTCAGCCTTCAGCAGCTTTGGCTGAGGTGAGAGAGAGCTCTCCAAGACCCTGGAGAATTGCTGCCAGTCAAAGCAGGTGGTCTTGGGCTAGATGGGAAAAGATACTCATCTGTTAAAAGGTGGCTTTGTAAGTTCCTAGGAAAGGGAAATTAAATCAGCTAGAACACCTTCCTGAAACTAAGCAGGTCTGGCTCTACTCACAAATTGGATGGAAGACCAGTGAGGAATCCCATGTTTCCCTGAGGAAAGGGAAGAAAGGTGGGATGGAAACGTAATAATTGCATGGTCCAGTGTTAAGTGTCATCCTATCCCTACCAGACCACTAAGACTTTCAATGGAGACCCATCTCTGTGAGCCCCCTCCCCCCCAATGAAGTGAGGGGGAAAATAGCTAGAAGAAGGGCCTTCTCCATCATTGCACCGCACTTGTGGAATGCTCTCGCTAGGGAAGTGTGCTTGGCACTTTTGCTACTTAGTTTTTGCTACCAGATTAAGATGTTTTTATTCAACACATGTTTTTAGTAGCTATTCCAGTTTATTTTGTAAGTATTACTGCTTGCTTATTATATTCTCCTGCCATGTATATTATATAATCTTGATTCTATTCTGCACATTTGATTTTACTATATTAATTTTGATTTTACTGTTGTAGTCCTTGTTTTATGGTTTTATGTTGGTTGTCCATGGTTTCTATTGTATGCTGCCCAGAGAGCCTCCAGGCATATAAATACAGTAAATAAATAAACCTGGTCGATAATTTTATTGTGCTGAACAAGAGGCTTGTTTCCCTCATTAGAGGCTGTTCGTACTGTTATTGAAGGAGGACAAGCAGCGTGCACATTATCAGGGCAAGAGGAGGATCGTTGGAAAATGTGCAACTGCTATAATCATGTCACAGGCATGGGCCTGGTTTCAAAACTTGGTTGTAAATAAGAACTGCTTGAAGGGATTTCCAATTTGAAAACTTTCTAAGCTGTTCTGCTGATGTTCTGAGATGTAGCCTCTGTGGCAGAAATGGAATGTGGTTGGCATGGTCTTTCTGGGTGTCCTTGAAGCCAGTGCCCACATTTTTTTCTCTGCAATATCTTTTTGTGTTCCTCCAAACATGGGAGGAAATGCATGTGATTCCACTCATGTGTGCAAAAAGCCTTTTACCTGTACTTCAATTTTGGTTTTGGTTTTTCCCTGAGCCACTGCTTTTACAACATCCAGAGCGTATCTATATTTAGACCGCAAAGATTGTACTTGTTTTCCAGCGGCTTTTGCTCCTTGGGGATGGTGTTTCAAAGTCTAGTTCAATCTGTTGCACTTTTGCTAAGTTAATAGGAAACGATGCAAGGTCTGGGAGAGGTGAGGTTAAGATTGAATTTGATGGACAGGGCTGCTAAAATCCATAGCTTCTAAAAATCCATATGGTGCAAGGTAGTTTTACATTTATTTATTTAAAACCTTTATATGCCGTCCCCCATGCAAGGCATCTCGAGACAGCTCACAATCAATACATTAAAAACAATCAATAAAATCAAATACATTAAAACAATCTAAGTAATAAATAACATGTAACCAATAAAACATGACTTTTACATTTACTTGGCAACTTTTAATTAAGCCTCATAATATTATATTGTTACAATGGACATGCAAAATTTCATGATTGCTGACATTCTCTTGTAGATGCTGGCAATTCTGGATCAATTCCATAAATGCTTAAATTCATGTGCATTTTAATCCAGTGAAATGCACTAGCGAATGACAGCAGGGGCAATCAACTGGGTAACCGTATCTCTGAGTTTTGAGCTGTTTAGACTATTTGTCTGGGCTTGTAAGCAATCACACATGAGCATCAAGTTTGACCAGATTTAAAATATTCCAGAATGGCCAGACTTGCTCAGTGGGAGAGCCACATACGGTAAATGTGAGCTGCAAGTGGGCACTCCCAGGTGGCCACAGCGAGCAGGTGCTCATGGGCAACAGCAGCCGGTGGCAAGTGGGCACCCACAGGCGGTGGTAGAAGGTGGAAAGTGGCAAGCAGGTGCCCACGGGCACCCACAGTAGCATGCCATAAAATAAAGTCAACAAGCTGCATGCGGCTCCTGAGCCTCGGTTTGGCCACCTCGTAATGTCCCCAAAACTAAGAACGTAATTATTTTGGCACAGTCTAACATCTTAAAACTTGTGTCGCTCATCGACCCACCTTGCCTGGGCCTTCATCCTCCGCTGAAAGTGTGGTGAGGATTTTCTGCCATGAAATAGTAGTGTGTGGAGAATGACTTAAAATCTCATGAAGTGGCTGAGTGCTCATCTTCTCTCTCTCTTACATTAAACACGGGGAAACTGCTGTAGTTGGCCGCTGGCTGCACATTGTGCTCAAAATCTCTTTTGAAATGGTGCTAGAAACATGGGACTGCACAGTTGCACATTGTAAGGGAAAAAAGATTGAGGCCACCATTTTAGTGCCCCCATTTTAGAAGACATTTCTAATATGGTGGGCGGCTGGCTGCTAACTGTAGAAGTTTGGCTTTGTTTCATGTAAGAGAAAATGGAAGTATGGCAATGTCTCAGCCACCTTGGGGAATTCTAAGCATATGCCTCTCCCCTCAACCTGAAGTGCAATTGAGCTCAAACATTAGCTTCCCTCTCTTAATCTATGGGTGGATTTGGGTTCTTTGTATGTCCTACCCAAAGGCTGAGTAATTCTGCAAGGCAATGCTGCATGTTTCAGTCCCAATAATTTATGTTTCAATTTTCTGTATTGCTGTTTTACTGGGTGTTTGCCATTTACTTTCCTCCTAACTCACATTAAGCTTTTCTTCACATTTAAAAATATGATAGCTATTGCTACTGCACGGGATACTCTGTATAATCCTTCAGTTTCTGATAGCTCAGTTTTACAGTTCAGTGTACTAATTAAATCTATCTTTTGAGAAAGCTGGGATCACATTTAAATAATTAAATTTTGAGCACCATCTCCCTTTTCTGCTAAGAATATCACAGATTGAACAGAAATAAGGGCATTTATGATCTGTCATTTTATTAATGTGATTTCTAGCAAGGAGAGGAGAGGAACAGAGAGGAGGAAATGAAAAGTGATGGAAGGATAAGATATTGCTTTGCCCTTTCACTGCTTCCTTTTCCAAGAGTCTGCTCTCTTGGGCTTTTTGCCTTCTGGAGTAGGAAAAGGAGCAGCAAGGCATCTGAGGCACGGATGGTCTTCACGCCAGAGTGGTTGCTGCAAGACAGAATTATTCTGCCATCATCATTCGTATTCCTGTTGTACTTTACGTGGTAGATTCTGAAAGACAAGGCTCCTTTATGCTTTGCCCCATGCCTTTATTAGAACTATGAAGGACTGTAGATGGACATCACTAGAAGCAGCTAAAGCAAAAGGTGCAAGTACCAAGGGTGGGCAAAAAGACCTGCCTGACAAAGTGTGGAGTGGACATACCAGGGCTGCTCTTACGAAGTAGTCCTTGCCCCAGCCTTTCCCCAGATGGCCAAGCAGCCTTAGTCTTACAAGCTATTGTTTTTTGCTGGGATTGGCAACAGCAGTTCTTCAGATGTTTTGGCCCAGGTAGCAATGAGGGCTCTTTGCAGTTGGCTATACTAGTTAGAGTCAGACGTTGTTCGCCCCCTCAACCTGAAGTTGTGTTGGTTTGAGGACAAGCAACAAATCTGTGCTCACCCTCCTCTTTTGTGCTTTAATGCACTACTACTATGGTTTGTTAAACCATCTGTTCCCATGATATCAGAACTGTGGTTTGTAATGCAAGGTGTTAGTTGTTAGTCTAAGGTTAAACCACAGTTTTCTGTTTCAAGCATAACAGGACACTGTGGTTGAATGCAAGAGAAGGGAGGAGGGAAGAGGGCATGGGAGGAAATGGACTCAGACACCATTCAAGTTTGATAAGCATTGCTTATCAGAGTGTTAGCCAAGCCCCTGTTAACCCTCACTCTTCACTCATTCATTGCTCCACTTTTCATTCTAACCTAGTTCCCTTTCCTGTTTGTGGGTGTAACCCTTGTGCCTTATGTTAGGTGATTGGAGGTACGTTGAATGTCTGGTGTACTGCCATGGTTTTTATGAACCAGCGGTTTGTTAGACATTAAAACCTGTGGTTGCCATGGATATTTCTGCAAAGGATCTTATTCATGCAAAAGTCTGAGATTTGGAAGGTGACTACTTTCCATGACTACATCCAAATCTTTATCCAAAGGCAGCAACATTTCTCCTGAATTTGTCATAAGGCATGCACAGCCATCCAGCTTGCAGCTGGTGAATTGGGGGTGGCTGTTTCAGAGCTAATTCAGGGAGAAAGACTTAACAGCAGTAAAAGATTCATTTCTCTCCCCACTTACTTTCTTTCCCTTTTTAAAGCTTAGAGTATGCTGGTTCTGCCAGCAGTTTTGACAGCACAGTGGCAGCATCAGAGGTACACCAGCTAGATCAAACAGAGATCTCAAGTTTCCTCCCCAAAAATAAAATATTTCAAATTTAGAAACATCTCAAGATTATGTCCTGGTTTGCATGTAACAGCAACTCATTGCTGAATTGTGGGTTGTTGTGTCTGAACAATGCACTAAAAGTGCATTGTTTAAAAGTGAGCTGCTAAGCATGAGGAAGCCAGGAAGGAAACCCACAGTTTGGGAACTGTGGTTTGTTTTACCAACCCACAATTAAACCACAGTGTAGGGTTTACAAGTAACAACCACCCATGATTTAATGATAACCCATACTTAGGTCATCATGTGCAGGTTTATAACTTAAAAAAATAAACTAGAACCTTAAGTATGATGCAGAATGAAATAATTGTAAATTTCCTTTTTGTACATGTGTTCACATTTGGAATTTTAATGTGAATTTTTAAAATTTTGAAAAGCTTAACACACGAAGCATAACCTGACTTCTGATACGCTGTTTTCATCCTTGTTTGTCCACCCTTTTGTTTCCTGGTCCACTGCAATAAATCAGAGTAGGCTCCTGTGTTCGTAGGCATCCTCTCTTCATTTCTATAGGACAGTGCAGGAAATGGTGCCATGAAACCTTGGATAGTTCATTGATCATGGATCAGATCCGATAGGCTTTTATGTGTGCAAGTGTTTTATATCATTCAGCACCTTGAACTACCATTTTCAGCTTTGGGACTAGACTGATAGCTGATCAAAGGTAAAATTACTGGGGGTGGGGGGAGGAAACCAAATTATTTTTCTCAGTAGTATGTTTTTCGCTTGGACAGACTGAAGCCCCTTTTCAGTTTATCTTAGCAGACACACTCTCTCACACACACACACAGAAATCCTGTGTGTGTGTGTGTGTGTGTGTGTGTGTGTGTGTTTGGAGGATGCTGCACTAGTATTCCAAATGCATGCTGGATTTATGCCATGGTTTCCCAAGAGAAATAGGAACAGTCGTTTGGTGAGTGTACTGAGAATGTAGTTGGGTGTCTCCTGTCTCTCTCAGGCTTCTGTGAGGTGAAGAAATGACTAGTGTGGATCGTAAGTGCGAAATATGAGCATTTTGCAACGTGGCCTTTAGTGGTGTGCACACAACCCAGCTCATGCACTGAAAGCCCCTGAGATTGTGACAGCTCTCCCTACCCTGCGCAATGCATGCACCTCCCATACCCCTTGCCGGACGCACATTCAGTGGCCAGGTGAAGACACCTTCCATGCCCACTATTGTGTGTGCAGGGCTCCTCCGTGTCAGGAGCAATCTTCGCTGTTGTGGAGTTTCTTCCAGGTGGAGGGATGCTTCGCTCAGTCCTTTTGCCTGGCTGCCAAATGCAGCACAGACGGAGGGAGGGCTCACCAGTGCAGACGTAGAGTTGTGAGCCTGCGCTCCCCACACACCCTTCCCGTGCACGAGGGAGGCCACGCCAAGCGCAGCTGCAATTGCTAGATTTCAGAGCGAACTTTGGCGGCTTGTGGTGCCAGAATACAAAAGTAACATGCTTTTCTGTATGTTAAGTAGGCATATCCTCCGTGCCATTATCATCAGCTAAGATACACTGATCAACCTATCACTACCTTTTCCTGGGCAAATTCAATGTGTATTTGCTATAGTCTAGTAAAAGCTTCTCCTCAGCAGGACTGCTACCATCCCAGCAGCGTGCTTGTTCTTGTGCCCGCCCTGCTGAGCACAGTCACGCTGCTGCTTTCCTTTGGGGCAGCTTGGTAAGGGGGCTGAGAGGTCGTTCTTTGTGTATGCAGGCAGCCCTTCACTAGATCGAGGCCACAGGGCTCTATAGGCAAAACTGAAAGAAACCTGGCAACACTTAAACGGTGTACTGAAAATGATCGATTTTTCTTTAAAAGCACTTTTTCCCCTGTGCTGGCATAAATATACATAGCAAAACTGATAGCCATACTAGTATTGCACGTTAGATAAAAGTGCTCACTTAAAACAGTTTCTTTACCTCTCTCTTAGGACATGCACACATCACCGATTTCAATATTGCCACAGTGATAAGTAAAGACACTCAGGTTACCAACATTGCTGGCACAAAACCATATATGGGTGAGTAGTCGGAAAATAAATATCCAGGTCATTTATATGGCCATTATTTGTAATATCTTGGTTAAAGGATGGTGTTATAAACATTTCCATTCTCTTTCTTGCGTGGTGCAAAAACATATTTAAGAAGCAAACATTTTATTGTTGTTATTGTTCTCTTGTTCTTATTGTATTTTCCTTTTTATACCACCCAATAATGGAAGCTCTCTACTGGGCTCATATAAAAAAGGGTGTGTGTGTTTGGGATTGTATTTCAGAGCTGATCTGGCTTGAATGTGGCCCCACCCCCACCAGCCACAGCGGCTTAACTGAGCTGATTTATGTAAAATCCAGTGAGCATGATGAGGTGTGTATAAGTGCATAGCAGCTTTACACACAGGCTAGACAAGACCTTGGACATTTCATCTGCACCAGCCCTGCTGTTCCCCTCAGTGGTTACCAAGAATCCTGACCATCTCAGGTCTCATTCTTGGAACTGAGCAAATATTCACTGCATTGACGAGGCTGCCAAGGGTGATGAGGGGAGCAACCTTGCTCTGCCTTTGATTTAAGAACTGACTGGTGCTCACAGTGAATGTCTTCCCTCTTATGGGTGGCCCATGCGCCATTGGCGTGGGAGCGTTGCTTTTGAGGGGGCACCATTTCTGGGGGCCAAGCAGTAGTACTAGCAGTAGTGCCCCCCAACGTGTGATAAAAAGTGGCCATCTTTTGGGTGGTCTGCGTGGGAAAGCAACCTTTTTGTGTGTTGCCCATGCACTCGTTAAGTAGATGCAAGCGTCGTTTCTGTATTTCACCACGTTTGTAACCCAGCTGCATTAATCAGCCAGCCAACATATGACCGGGAAATTGTGATGCTTAAGTGTAAAAGCTGGTTCTGAACTGAAGAAGGTAAGCAAGATGAGTCAGTTTCTCCTCGCTCAGTACATTGTGCGCTGACCTTCTGCATGGTCACGTGTGCCTGCAGGCCATGGGCAAAGTTGGCTGGTTCCCATTTTCTTGATTGTGGTTCTGGTTGCCAGGCTGACACAAAAGTAGAGGGGAATATTCTCACCTTCATTGTTCCTTTGTTCAGGGAAAATGTATTGTCAGCCAAGTTTGGCTGGGGCTTCTCTGAATCATAAATTCTGGCAAGAGGCAGGTTAGCTTAGTATGGTGGCTTCTGATCCAGGAATTAGGGACAGCTTGGTGCAGTTGGTAGACTATGGTGATGCAGACCTGGGCCCAGCTTCCTTCTTCATCCAGAGGGACACGCTGCTTTCAGGTCTCAGCTACTGTCAAAGGGTTGAAGCCTATTGAAAGGGGCAACATTTCCCAGGTAAAATCAATAAAGACACCCAGCTGGATCGGACCAAAAGTCCATCTGTCTGCATTTTGTTTCCATAATGGCCAACTTAAATGGTCCTTTCCCCCACTGGCAGCAAGCTCAAGCCAGAGGCCATTAGGAACCACTTCATACCAGAGTGATGAGTTGGTCTCGCACCCCCCAGAGAGAGAGTGAGTGAAAAGGCTTTACCCGCAGCCCATGGCCAGGGTCACTTTGTGACATGAGCCTGCCGGCTCCTTGAGCTCTCTTGCTTTGCTTGTATCCCGTGCATGAGTTGCTGTACAGGAACTGTGAGCAAACACTTGAAAGTGCTCAAACTGGAATGTAATTGGGATTATTCAGGAGAATCCAACTGGCAAGGCTTTTTGTCTAGATCCGTTGTAGGTCTAGGTTCTGTAATACTGGCTTACGCTCTGTTTGGTCTCCTCATCCTCACCATGAGAGTTACGTATCCTTGAACTGCCACTGGAAACCTTCGGCTCTGAAAAACAAAACAACACATTATTTTCAAAGCTGATCAAGCAATCCAAGGCTAATACTCCCCATTTTGTAAACTGGAATTAAAACTATGACTATGTATTTCCACCTCTGCAGTTCCCACTTCCCTGGCATACTGGCTTCCAGTTCTCTGCCATTTCTCTAGCATCACTTCCCCTCCATATGAAGCAAAAACTAATTTCCTCAAGTCATTGGTCTTTCTTATTCATTAGTTACATCTGTTAGTAATAAACATACTGCCTCATATGCTAGGAAACTAGATGCACTAATCAAGCCATGCTTGTCTGCTGTAACATTTGCAGATTTGTATTTTGGAGAATAATCTTTGTAAAAACAAATTTTGTTTGTTTTTCTTAATCCAATGAAAGTGTGTGAGCCAATTTCCCCCAGTAAAAGCGTCTGAACTAATTCCTCCAAGCTTACAAACAACTATTTCTCACTTGAATAGTGGGGAACATAGTACACAATGGTGTGTATACCACATTTGTGGCATGGTCTCTTTATGGTCTTTTTTTCCATACACATCTGTAACTTGCATGCTCACATGTGGGTGAAGATGTGCAGCAACATCCCATAGGGATTATTCTTCTTGAACTGGACAATTTCCACCTCTGCCACACTTTTGATGTTCAGCACCAGTTGTCTGCTTCTATTCAGACCAGCTTGTCCCAAAATGTTCTCCAGCCTTATCAGTCTAAACCTTTCCTCACTAAACCACCATCTCATCCATGTATTGAGATCTCCTCAGCTCCATCTATCTAGCTGGTCCTGTGTGTGGCTCCTTGGTGGTCCTGGCTTTCCATCTCCTACTAACTATCTAACTTTGACTTCTGTCTTGACAACATCTCGCCATATGATTGATGCCAGCATGCACGTCATCCACTCACTCCATCCCAGCATGGCCTACAAGCTTTCTAGGCAGCGCATAACATCCGTATCTTTCCTGCGAGATGAAAATGGGGACACTAGTTTTTACTTGTAAATTCACACCTTAATTTTTCATGCTTGAACTTCCTCCAACCACAGACTACACAGTGCTTGAAAGTTACGTTCATTTTGTCTGAAAAAAGAGCTTGAACTCTTCCAACCATCTTCAGAAGCTGTGTGTGGGTAAAGTGGTCATAACAATATTCTTAGTGTCAGAGTGTATGATTGCAGTTTTAAAAGTATTCAGCAATATGTACTCTCTGGACAAATAATTGTGAGGGTACAGACTAGAAGAGGTAATGCTGGACTTCCATGCACAGCATGTGCACAAGAGTCAAGACTTGCTTGTTCCTGCCAGAGATGTCACTTCTTCGGGTTGGTGGAAGGGATGATACCTGAAGAATCCCAGCCCACATTTTGTGCACACTAACAGAGATGTGCAAAGGCCTTGCCTGCATCTCCCAAAAAGACAAAACAGAGACTGCTCCCATTAAATAAGGTGACAAGGCTGAGCCATAAGCATCCTGTACTCCAGGACAGGAGTAGGAGCAGAGGACCACCCCAAAATACACCAAAGGCAAAATACACCAAAGGCCACTGTGGTGCAGGTAATGGACCAGCCCAAGCTGGAGGCCTTTTATCGCCTAAGATGGCTCACGGGTTAGCCTGGGTAAGCTATGCCAGCCCCAAGAATACTTTGCTTGTCAGAAAGATACTCCAAAGTGTAGCTCATCCATGGCTCTCCTTACAGGGCAGCCAGACAGCACCAGTGGCACCTAAGAAAAGGACATTTGGTGTATATCCTTTGATTATAGAATGAATGTGCACATTACACCAGGGAAACCAAAGCCAATGATCTTGCCATAAGACTATTTGCCGTGCTAAATCAAACCACAAATTTCTCTGTTTTTCAGCACCTGAGATGTTCAGTTGTACAAAAGCTAATGGCTATTCCTATGCTGTTGACTGGTGGTCATTGGGAATTACAGCCTATGAACTTCTTAGAGGCCGGGTATTGTATAATTAACTTAACTAATTTGCATACATTATTTATCTGTCTATCCACTAATCCACAATTTTCAAGTCACCTACAGTAGAAATCTTCTCACTCCAAATCGACATTCATTTTATGATGGATTTGAGAGGGAATCACTTCAGTCTAAAAAGCAAATTATCTAACAGATAAATGTGAATTCCTAGCACAGAATTTGTCATACAGCTATCAGGAGTTCAGAAGCTGCAAGGAACAGAATCTATCTGTGTTTAAAAAGACATTTAGAATTGCTGAAGAATCCTGTGGTTTGAGAAAGAAATCGACCGCTGTGTGTGAATTAGCAATCCAACACATTTCCTGTTTGGGCATGTCTTACTGCTGGGCTGGACTGCAATATGTCTTCAAAGTTTGCTAGAAGACTATAAAAGTTCAGTCAAATAAGCAGGCAAACTGGGAAGCTTATTGGAAAAGTTCTGCTTGCTTAATTGACATTTATGAGCTGTATGATGTCACAGTGATAACGTTCTGCTCTAGACTATTTGTGCCAGTTTTGCAATGATGCATGTGCAGGTAGTCCCATTGGCTGCAGTCCCGAGAGCCACATGCTAGCTGGGCGAGAAGCAGGTGCTCAGCGGGAGCAGCCTTTGTGCAGTGTTATGTTGTGAATCGCCCAGACAGCCTCTCTGGCTGCTGGGACGGTATGTAAATTTAAAAACAAATGGATAAATAAATGTTGCAGCACAAGCTGATGCATGCATGGCATTGCACCCCTGTAGTTCAGCACTGGGAGACTACATTCCCACCCACGGTGGACTGGGGACCCTCTTCCTCTCTAGATTTGAACCTGCACCCTGTTACTCCCTCCCAGGCCCCTGTTCAGACATTTGTACAGGGTAGTCCATGTGCCATGCTTGATTCTCCCTCATCACATAATGACTCATGACTCATATGAGTTGACACTTGTCCTCTGATGTTTTGTCTTTCTGTCCTATTCTGTCCTGCCTCCTTTTCTTCTTTCTTTCTATTATGTCTGGGCTGGTTTATGTTTTATATATCCCCCAATTCGTCTGTGTGTGCAGACCTGCTTGTTTCAAGTCCAGCTTGCCCTCCAAGCACCCACACCTTTCCTTGGTCTTTAAGACCCAAACCCAGATGTGAACATGGAATGCCTCAGAGCAGCAAGGAGGCCCCGAGTGGCCCTGCTCCTGCATTTCTGGGTGAGGCGCCTGAGCGAGAAGAAACCGTGCCTGTTGGTTACTTAATTTAGTAGCTGGTGGGTCAGGTTCATCAGTGGGAGGTGTAAGTCTGCTCTGATGCACCAGAGGGCGGGGCTGCCGCCAATGAGTGTGGTGCTTCCAAGGATCATTGGACTGCTAATGACCTATCTGTGGGGTGCCGAAGTCAGGATAGAGATGGATTGAATACAAATTTAAAACTAGTGTCGGTAATGAACCATTAAAGCAGGTTTTGAAAAAAACCTACCCATTTGAACAGGTACCACAAAATTATGTCTCTTGGCAGCATAGTGGGTGGGAAATATGTATTGATGTTGGGGAGGACTGGGCTGCTTAATGGTTTACTTATTTGTATTTGTAAACCAGTGCCTCTTTCCTTCCAAAAGACACTCATGGGAGCTTCTGTAGAATATTAGGTTAGATGAAGGAGCCCACATAGAACCTAAGGAGAGTCCTGCTGAATCAGGCCAAAGGCCTATCCACTTCAGCATTTGATTCACACAGCGACCAACCAGCTGCTTGTAGGAACCCCACTGGTGCATGAGACAGGAATGGCCCATGTGGCCTCCCCTCCCCTCCCCTCCACCTGCCTCCTACTTGCCCACACGCCCAGTCTTCTTTCTCCTTCCCCATCGCATTGCCAGCCCTTGGCAGGTCAGCCTGAGAAGAGCTCCTTTAGCCAGAAAAATGGCCAGTGTGTCTCTTCAGAGAGCCAGCCACACCCAGACACCTGACCTGTGGGTCCATCTTCAGAGCCCAGCATTGTGGGAGGATGGGGTCCTCTCAGATCACTTGCTTTCCTGGCCTGCCCAGCTCTTCCAGCTCACTCTGAGCTCCATTCACTCTGCTTCATGTAAAAGCCCTCTCCTGCTTGGGTTCCCCCAGCAATTAGTGTGCAGTGAAGTTGGGAAAATGCAATTGGAAATCCAAGAGCAGTGAACTGGTAGAGCATGCGCCACCATTCCACCTATTGCTTCTTTCAGCTGCAGCATCATGCCAGCCATGCCATGCCCAAGTAAGCACCTTAAATTCTAAGGCAACTCCATATTTGCAGCATAACTGCTGGTGGAGATCTTAAAATGGTCAGGAATGAATATTTTTCTTCTATCCATTATCTTGTAGCTCCACATCCAGAATAACACACTTGAACTCTCATGCCATAAAGTCTTACTGTACTACTATCGTAAAACCTCCTTGGTGTAGAGCCAATATGAGAATGTTGGAGGGGGCTGGAAGAGAACCCATCCCACTCTTTAGTCCAGGGTTGCACAACTTCTGCCACTCTAGGTGTTTTAGCTTACAACTCCCAGGATCTCACACCATGTGTGTACCAGATAGGAGGGTCATAAGTTGCTAATCCTTGATTTAGTCCATCCTGCCAGATACTGATGTGAACAACGAACAGGCATTGCTCAGCCCACACAAGGGTTTCTCTAGCCTTACAGTTCAGCTCAGATGCTTACTTAGGAAACACAGGACCAAGAAAATGTAGGTTATTTTAGCTGGCCCCAATCACTCCATCTTCCCTTTCTGAATTTGGTCCTGAAAGATCTGGAATGTGTGGGGAAGTGATAACAAGGCACCACACATGACACAATACAACATCCTCACTGGTCATGAAGGCTGCTTCCAGGTTTTGGCTTCATGGAGTTTGAGCCATTGTGAGAAGGCCATCACTGAGCATCAACCTGCAAGGTTTTCATTTAGTTATGTACATGCATGAGAGAGAAAATGAAGTGGGCTGCATCTATAGTTGTTATTATATGCATTAATAGCTTTATTGGTTATAAAATGCCAAGAAAAATCTACATGACAGTTGAAAAATAGCTGTATACATGTGTGCTTTGCAGTTTCAATTGAACACGCTCTTACACAGACTTGTATCTCATCAAAATTAGTGCACCATCAAGGGTCCTAGCTTCCTTCGGTTCAACAGCCTGTTTCTCACTCTCTTCCCTGCTTTCCAGGGATACGATGAAGTGCCATTTTGTTAGGGCTGATTGCTGTAATGAAAGTGAAAAGCCCCAACACCCATGTGGCTCTAATTGCAGATGTGACACTGAATTCCAGTGGTCTGGCATAATGTTCTGAGACATTAAAAAGTTCTTAGCTGGGCTCAGTATTGGAGTGATGAGGCATCCATTTGTTTTCCCTGTGGAAACTGACTTAGAGTTAAATCTTGGGAGCGGAGGTTATTTATAATTCAGAAACGTGGGTATTTCTACGTGTATTTATTTATTTATTTATTTGGAGAACTTATATACATCTTTGCTATAACCCCAACAGCCACCATAGTCAAGCCCAAAGAATGAGAGGTTTGCTCCATACAGGATAGTTGTTAGGGATCAGCTTAGAGGCATATCATGCCCCTCCCCATGCCTAGGATGTTGCCTGTAGCGACAGGCAGGAATTCAGGCTGGGCCTCATAATGGGCCCAGGGCCGCAGTCCCTCCTGGTCGTCTTGAGGAATGATCCTGAGCTCCTCTGACTGCTGCTCCTGTGCCACTAGTGCTATCCCCCCGCCCGCCCCCCGAGGGCCTGTCTGAAGCCAGCCATGGTCGCTTGGCCTGGCCCTTCAGAGGCTGCTGGGCCAGCCGTAATGAAACAAGCCAGGCTGCTGCAGCACTGTGCTTGGTTGGACTGGGTGGGTGGTTCTTTATGCTGAGAGGAGAGATCTTCGTTATGTTTGGGTGGTGTATTAAGTCGCATTTTGATGAACAGCTTGAAAGGGACTTTCCTCTGGTGGTCTGCCACATTATGATTTTTCATCGTTGTCTTCTCTGATATGCCTCAAGTGCCACTTGTACTTTTAGCAAGTCCAGTTCCAGAAATGAGCCAGAACATACAAGGGTTGGTTGTTGCAAAGGACATCTAAACAACAGCCCATTTTGCAAACAGCAACAGCCCTCCAGTACATTGATTTCCTGTTCAGTCAGGCTGTACTGGTGAACTGACAGCTGGGGGACGAGTCTCTCCTCTCCTCTCCTCTCCTCTCCTCTCCTCTCCTCTCCTCTCCTCTCCTCTCGCTTGCTAATGGCAGCCCGGCTGTTGCTGCCCAGTCCTGCACTGATCCATTCACTTCAGCTGAATCGGGCTCCCCAGTGATGGCGGCTCTGTGGTGCAGCTGAGAACGCAGGGAGCTCTGCGGGAGAGCAGCTCAGAGTTTCTGGCCAAAGCAGCTCCACCAGTGCGCAGAGGCCTCCTTTTTGAAAAGGGTGACTTGCTTTTTTGTAGCTGCTCTATGGGGGATGTGTTTCAAAATGTTGGTTTGTTTGTTTCAATGTAGAGGCCATATCATATCCGCTCTAGCAATGCTCCAAATGAAATCGCCCACGTGTTCAAGACAGCCACGGTCATGTATCCTGCAGCTTGGTCAAAGGACATGGTGTCCCTGATTCAAAAGGTGAGTGTACTTTAGGACCACGCCAGCCCCCAGAGAGTGACAGATGTGTGCTTCAGAGTGGCTTTCTCCATCCTCCATTGGTGTCGGAATACAACTCCCAGCATCTTTGCACCAGTGCAGGGAAGCCTGCCTTGGAGTCCTGCAGTTGAGTGGAAGCCTAGCACTGGCCGGGACAAAATGTGGAAGGTGTGACTGCTGCCAGAAGCAGAGACCCCGTTCCTCCTCCTCCTCCTTTCCCCCAGACTCCTATTGGCATGAAGCTTGTGACATGCTCTAACAGCTCCACTCATTTCCACACACCCCACCCACTGCCCTTTGCTGGCTCTCGCCGTTGGGAGTTGGGGAGCTTGCAATGTGCTTGTTTCATATCAGGCATTTTGTTTTAGATTATTTGTGGCAGATGCGTAGATTCCCCCCTTTCATAGAAGTTACAGGGTGGCTTGCAAAATGATTGCCAATAGGAGAGGAGGAGGAGGAGATGATGCCGCTGGGCTACTAGTTTCAGGCACAGCCATCTGTCTCCCACTTCTAGCTCTGGGCTGGCATCAGCAAATCTTTTATTGACTTCAGTAGTTTTTCTACTTGAGGACCCTCCCAGACATCACTCTTGGCCTGTGGCAAAATAACAGCCAAACTTTTATAGACATGGTCACTTGGCATCTTTTATTCATAACAGCTGTTTGTGTAGTTTCACTGTGATATTTTGCCAGTGAGATATTTTCATCTGCACAACAATTGTAAGGTGGTATGCCGGCAGTCCTTGCTCTTCGGAAAAGAGGTGCTTTTGGTGGGTGTACTCTTCCATCGTACTAGAGCGCAGTTTGTCCAGTTGTGTTTCCCTTGGTCCGTGGAATAGAGTATCTTTCTTCCCTCATTCCTATAGAAGAAATTGTCAGTTCTCAAGGTTATGAATGCTTGTTCCCTATCAGTCCCCTCTATTGGGTATGAAACCACAATGTTCAGTATAGGAACCAAAAACATTCAGTCAGTCTTCTTTGCTTTGGAAAAATAATTTGCTCTATGAAATGTCCAACACAAGAAAATCCAGTTCTTTCCTTTGATGCCAAGTGCAGTGGTACAAATTACTTTGCCCCTTGTCCATGATGGAAGGCTTAGGAGCCTGTAAGGACTGCTGGATATAGAAGATGGTTACATTATTTGGGCCAAATACATTTGTCCAAATAATATCTGAAATTAAAAATATTGTTGTTTAGGGAAGAAGAGCCATAAGGGCACAGTCCTATGTGGCTGTCTGTAACTTCCTCCACTCAGAAGATTATGGGCATCCAAATGAGTGTAAGAGGAGAGTGGAGGTGAAGATTGAGCCCCCTCCCCTCCCCGGGTTGCAGTTTAAGTAGGAGAAGAATCACCCAGATTTTGGTGCACTCTGACTACGGCTATTCAGCACTACTTGGAGCAGCTGGATTTAAAACTGGGTGGATAAACAGTAATGCGAAACTAATTTTTTCCTTCTTATTCCTATATGCCATTTACATTTTTTATCCTGTGCTATGACATTCTGGAAACCCTACAGGCCTTTTGGGTCCTTCTTGAATTAATGATGCCATGTCACCATTATTTAAATGTCCCCTTTGCATCTGTTTTAGCAGCTGTATGTATTATGGATGAGACCAGCTGGGATTAGCAAAACAGCTGGCTCTGATGCCTCCAGTGAATTCCGTCAGCAACGGTTCAGGCATGGAACACTTCCGCAAGGGAAGTAATAAATGCACTTTTGTGGCCCTCTGCTACTGGGTGTGCAGCATGTGAATGTTGTTCATTCAGGATGGAAGGAAATGGAAATTAGCAGTGCAATCCTGCACATGTCTACTCAGAAGTAAGTCTCTGCAAGTTAAGAGAGATTAACTTTCTGGTAAGCATGTGGAGGATTGCCACTTAATGTATATCTCCACCAGTTTAGTTTTATATTTGCATGATAAGGGTTTTTAAGAGTCAGTGCTTAAAAATGTTGGCCATGAAGCTCATTAGGTGACTTTGGGTCAGGCCCTGGTTCTCCATCTAATTTACCTTTATAATGTTATTCTGGGTATGAAAGGGAGAGGAGGAGAGCCCTGTAAGCTGTTTGGGGCAGTGTTTGGAGGAAAGGTGACATGTTGATGTAACAAAAAATAATGTGTATAACTCACACTTTAAAAAAAACAGATGTTAAATGTATTTTAGGAATATAATGTAGGGTTGTCCTCTGCAATGTATTGTCTGTGCATGAAAGCAGCTTTCCACATGTGCAAGTGATACAAATGGTACACAGGTGATACCACAGCAGAGAAAAACCTTCAAATAGTATGCAAAAATGCAGGAATAAAAGCAGGTGTACCACCCAAGTGAACTGAGATGCTTCTACACTGTTGTATGGGAAACACAATATGGACTTGAGAAAGAGAAAGTATGACCATCCTACAAAGGAGGAGGTACAAGACAAAAGGGCGGGATGGCAGCCTAAGATCAACAGGCAAATGGTCAAGGAGCACCTTGATGAGCTTAATACATTAAAAACTCCGGGACTTGAGGAGCTCCATCCTAGAGTCAGAAATTGCTGGCAGAACTTCTGAACCACTATTTATTATTTTCAAGAAATTTTGGAAAATAGGAAGTGCTAGATGACTGCAGAAGAACTGATGCTGTTCCTATCAATATGAAAGGGTAAAAAACTATAGACTAGTCAGTCTAAAATCAATCCCCAAGAAAATATCAAAGCAAATTATTTAAAAAAATCAGCCTTCAAGTACCTTGAAGAAAAGGCATTCATGAACAGAAGCCAATACAGATTCCTTAAGTATAGTTAATGCCAAACTAACCTGATCTCATTGTTTGACAGCAGAAATGCCATGGACATAATTCATCTAGACTTTAGCAAAGCATTTGGCAAAGTGCTTCACAACATCCTGATAAACAAACTAGCAAAAAATGGGCTCGACAGAATTACAGTTAGGTGAATCCACAACTGAATACAAGAGTGCTCAGCAATGGCACCTTCTCAGGCTGGAGTGAGGTAAAAAGTGGGGTGCCACAGGCTCAGTCCTGGGACCAATGCTCTTCAACATCTGTATTAATGATCTAGATGAGGAAGTACACAATTAAATTTGCAGATGACACAAAACTGGACAGAATGGCTGACATCCTGGAAAACCAAAATAGATCCAGGCTGGCCTAGATCTTCTCGAATGCTGGACAGAAAGCAACAGAATGAAATTCAGTAGGGACAAATGCCAAGCCCTCCACGTAAGGGAAAAAAACCCATATGCATTGATACAAGATAGGGAATACTTAGCTCAACAGCACTGAAAAAGAAAAAGACCTTGGAGTTGTTGTGGACAACAAGCTAAACATGAGCCATCAATGTGATGCAGCTGCAAAAAAGGCAAACACTATTTTGGGATGCATAAATAGAAGCCTCACTTCCAGGACTAGAGAGGTACTAGTTCCCCTTTACTCAGCACCTGCCAGACCTCACCTGGAATACTGCATTCAGTTCTGGGCAGCTGGGATTTCAAAAGATGCAGAAAAACTAGAAAGGGTTCAGAGGACAGTGCCAAAGATGATCCACGTTCTGGAAACTAAGCCCTATGATGTTTAGCCTCAAGAAGAGAAGACTACAACAGCACTAAATTAGATGCAGGTAAATTAGAAGGTGTGCAGAGAAGGGCACCAAAAATGATCCAGGGTTTGGAAACACTGCCCTTTGAGGAGAGACTGAGAGAACTGGACATGTTCAGCCTTGAGGAGAGAAGAGAAGACTGAGGGGAGACATGATATTCCTCTATAAGTACCTCAAAGGCTGTCACAAAGAGGAAAGTCAAGATCTCTTGCTGATGCCAGAGTGTGGGACACCAAATAATCAATTCAAGTTGCAACAGCCCAGATTCAGGCTGGACATCAGGAAAAGCTTCCTCACTGTCAGAGCAAAATGACAGTGGAACCAGCTACCTGGGGAGGTGGTGGACTCTTCCACACTAGACATTCAGGAAGAAACTGGACAGCCATCTGAGTGGGATAGTGTAACTTGGTGTCCTGCAACAGCAGGGGGTTGGACTTGATGGCCTTCTTGGCCCCTTCCAGCTCTACTATTCTATGATTCTACTATTCTATGATTCTAAGTACCTCAGAGGCTATCACAAAGAGGAAGGAAAAGACCTTTTCTCACATCAAGTATAGGACATGGAACAACTTAAACTACTGCACAACAGATTCAGGCTAGAAACCAGGAAAAATGTCCTGTCAGAGTGATTCAACAGTGGAACCAGCTGCCTAGAGAGGTGGTGGGCTCTCCCACACAAGAGACCTTCAAGATGAAACTGGGCAGTCATCTGAGTGGGATGGTGTTACCTGGTGTCCTGCCCAGCTGGGAGCTGGACCCAATGGCCTTATTCTATTATTCTATCAATCTCCAATGCTGTAAAGAAACAATACTGAATAGGAAACTGGAACGGAAGATCTATGAATCAAGGTAAGCTGGACATGGTCAACCATGAGATGACAAGACTGAACATTGACATCTTTGGCCACCTAATATGAAGGAAGGACTCACTAAAGAAGAGCCTAATGCTGGGAACAATTGACGGCAAAAGAAGAAGGGGACGGCAGAGAATGAGGTGGCTAGGTGGAGTCACTGAAGCAGTGGGGGTGGGCTTGGGGGTGGGCCAATTGAGCAGTGGCAGAGGACAGGAGAGCCTGGAGGAATGTTGTCCATGGTCATGATGGGTCGGGTACGTCTTTGCGACTAAACGACTAATGAATCTGTGAATTATTGTATGAATCTAAAGCCCTATTATTCTATGAATCTAGAAATCTAAGTATACATTGAGATCTGTATCTATTTCCACATCATGGTGTTCTTCTTGAACTGGTTCAGTGCATATTTTGATGCAGGTGATTCTTAGCATCCTCACCTGGGACCAAAGCTGTACAGGATTAGTTGTGCCCAGTTGCAGCCAGTTCAATGTCCGGGTTAGAAGCGAATACAAATGTTTTTTGCTTTATGCTAGACATTCATTTACATGCCCATTATAATGCCACTTGCACAATCTTTCTAGGCTTTCCCTCTAAGATGGTGTTTAAGGATTCAGTTTCCTGTATTTGAGAAAATGGTCTTTTCCTCTTTATAGCATGCACATGCTGAGCAAGGGTAATTAAACAACCACCAGGAATCTGGCTGTTTAAAAATAATACATGTTGATATCCCCTCTCCCCACCAAAACAAGCAAACAAAAATCCTTGACAAGGCCCTTATAATAGATGGTCACTGCAGGTTGCATTATTGGGCAGTGCCATGCTTTTAGATTCATAGCAGAATATTTCCATATTCTGTATTGTTTTTACCCTTCCTGGCTTCGGTTTCCTTGAATAATGGACATGTTTCCCAAATAATGGTTGCATTCATGTTTTATGTTAAATATTTTGAGATGCTTTGCTGATTCATACAGAACCTCTGAACCAAAAGTATCAGCAACCATATGGATGGGAAACACAAGTGGCATCTCTACTCCCAAAGGCGTGCAGGAAGGCTAATTCCAGAGAGAGTTTGTTACAATGAACAGATAGTTATGTGCATATAAAAGGGAAGTACTTCTGTAGATTATGTCTGTAAGGAAGAGCACAATCTGTCACCAAAAGCAAGCTTTGGATAATTTGTCCAAACACAATGGGCATCTGTAAGATGTTTTGCTCAGCTTACAAGAAAAAGCTCAGTTAATATTTAACTTGTAGGAAAAAAACGAATGATCTTTAGCTTTAGTTGTCTTGGTTTGTAAAATGTGTTGTTCATGAGAAAGCTTGAGTAGAAGCTCAAGTAATTTTTCAGTGTCAAATATTGGGTGCTAAAGTTTGTTGAGACTGTGGTACTTCTAAAACTGAAGCTCTCTGGAAATAGGCTTTATAGCCTACTTACTTTTTAGAGCTTGCTATTCCTATGTTCCCATTTCTCTCGCTGAAAAGAATGTAAATGTTTAAATCCTTGTGAAGGATCATTATTGTAAAACTTCCTGTCCCCCAAATATGGGCTTTTTTGCTTTATAAAAACAAGGAGGTGGTTGAAGCCCTGTCAGTGAGGGTGTTCAAGGATAGGCTGGACATGCACATGGTAGGCATGTCGTGTTCCCCCACTGGGCTCCTTCCATTGGCAGAACAATGGTTCTGGATCCAAGCCAGGAAATGGAGATTAAGAGGTGGCAACCTTGTCCAGCACAATGAGTCCTTGGATGATGAGAGATTTAAACCCATATTTTCCAAGCTCAAGACCAAAATTCTCTGGGTCCTGATTCAGCTAAAGTTTTTTTCTGACAAAAACCCATCGAACCCAATGGAACATATTAACCTTAAGTTTCATTGCTTTTAATACAGATTATTCATTACTTGCTTAGATAGACCAGGCACACACCCTTATTTCTTGAATCTGATTTGCAGTAAATACTTTTTGTTTCTTCTCTGTTCTGATCCATATCATGTTAACAAGCCAGTTTAATTCCTGTTTCAGTTATTGGAGATAAATACAGAGGAAAGGTTTTCTCAGCTGTCTGATATCCAGGACTTTCCTTATTTGGCTGATATTAACTGGGATGCTGTTCTTCAAAAGAGAGTAGAATCTGGATTCCTTCCTACTGTAAGATTTTTATTATGATTAAATATTATCGTAAACATGCTTTAAAAATATATTTAAATGATTTTAGTATTATTAAAATTAGGAAACTATAGATGTTGGTGATGAACCTTTCTAACATGTTGTACTGAATACAGTTGAATACTGAATACCTTCCCAAGTATATTGGTGAGGATTTCATGCCAAAGTTGAAGTAAAATTTATAGAGCGCATTATCTTCTAAAGGGAGTTAGCAATAGAAAATGTGGGAAATTTCTGGTGTAAAAAAGTTAGTGGATGCTTTTGCTTTGATAGCTTCCACATTGGTTGGAGGAGGGGAATATGCCAGGTGTTTCCAGGTATAGACTTAGAAGGGAAGGCCATCTGCTCTGCAATCCTCATTTTCTTTGGGGCAATATTTCTCTCTGCTTTCCTAGAAAGGGAAGTTGAACTGTGACCCAACTTTTGAACTTGAAGAAATGATCCTTGAGTCCAAGCCACTTCATAAGAAGAAGAAGCGCCTGGCCAAAAAGGAGAAGGAAAGCAGCAAAAATGATTCCTTGGAGGTGAGACACAGACAACTGAACTGTATTTTTCTGAACTTGCACTTGAGTAAATTCACATTTGCACATACCAATGGACTCAGAACTGATCGAATGTTGCCAGCATTTAATATCTCCCAGCTTTGCTGGATGCCTTTGTCAGATGACATATTGGTCCCAGAAGACGAGAGGCCATGCTCCTCAAACTGCTTGCTCAGGCTTCATCACATTGGAGTTGATGGCAGTGCTCCAGATGAACTGCAGCCAAAATCAGCTGGCTGTAACACATGGCTGCTCATCTTAGCACACTGGAATAATAATTGCAGGGATTATTTTTTTTCATTGCACATGCAGTATTGATAGTGCGTTTCATCTGACATTATGCTTGTGGGAAAAGTGCAAGACTTGGCATTGTCTGCTACCAGTTGCACAACTGCTAGTGGAACATGTGTAAATATGGTGGAGGTACTGTTGCATGAATGAATTTATGAAGGATTCATTTTAGAAGTACAGTCTATATTGAAAAGTAATGTTATACCACAACACCTAGTCCTGACTTAACACAACTGTAACAAGCTTTGCAACAACTTATGCAGTTCCCACTGCACAAGCAAGGCCTTGTGTCGCAGCATCTGCAAAAGTTTGCAGAAACAGAATCAATCCTTGGGTTTGACAACTGTGCAAGGATGAAAACAGGAGGTGGGAGCTTTGCCCTACCTGAATGACAATGGTGGATCCTATTTCCTTAACATTTTGTTCTTGCATTGTTGTAAGTCCACTTTTTAAACTAAGAATATTGAGAAATTGCCAATAGCAGCTTTTTCATATCAGAGAGACTTTTTATTTATTTTATTTATTTGAGTATGTTTACCCTGTCCAATACCCAGTGGGTCTCTGGATGCTTTATGCCATTAGCAAGAAGTCACCTCAAGTCTCAGCTCACCTCAGAGTACCATCTACTAGTCATTCCTGTTCAAGCAGAGGAGGAGAAGGAACTGGGAAGGTGAACACTGGCAGTTATCATCTGTAAGATGGGGAAAACCTTCATGTTTCCTTGCCTACTGCCGTAATGCTCTAGCCGAGGCTTGGCTCTGTGTGACGCTAGTGTGGGGTTCCTGGGGACATGGCACACACTTGCCTCTTTGATGAGACAGGTATATTTTCACAGACAAACTGGAAGTTGAGCTGCCCACTGGCTACTCCATGGGCATATCCTTGAAAAAGCTTCTGGTGCAAATGAAACTGGACAGGTTTTGCTGACTCTAGAGTACAAATATGAGAAAGTAGCAGATGAGCTGGGTACTTTTAAAATGTACTGTGCCATGAGATATCATCCCATCTTTGAGCTATTCTACAAAATCAGAATCTATCATGAAGATGCAGCATAGTGTGACTCAGGACTCTGCCAGTGTTATACAATAGAGGCATTCCTGAGCTGCATATAAACTGTTCAAAGACAATGTCTGTTACTTCCTCCTTTGTAGAGAACAGGCAAATGGAATCGAGTGGCTTGCTGGTGGCCCTGAAGCTTCCTAGAGGTGGATTATAACAGCCATACAGCTTGCATTATCGATGCCAGCTCTTAAATCATTAATTGGCCCTTAAGCAGGAGTCCTTTTGAAAGATCAAGTTATATTTGGCTCCTGATTAGCAATGATAAGCTGGAGTTTTTGTGTCACTGAGACTAGCCTAGCTCTGGCTCTGTTACTCACTGTCACTGCAGGAAGATAAATGAATCCAACTGTTGGCTGAGTTTCTTTATTTGTCCAAAGGATCTCAAACATGCTGACAATAATATGCACCCATTATTCTTATATAGTACCTTTCTGTGCATGGCACTCCAAAGTTTTCTGATGAATACTCTTATCCCAACTCTTATCTTCTAATAAATAGTCTTATTTCAAATACACTTATTTCAGAATGTATCACACTCAAGCTGGATCTCTCCCCAGTGAACAGGCTAAATGGGTAGAAGGACATTGCAAAACACAAGACCACAGTTAAATGTTTGGCAGTTGAATTAAAGGAAAGACACAATGGGTTGATTCAGGTCCTTTGTTCCACCACTGATGGAACAAGACTTGTAAGTCCTCTTCCCCCTTGTTTTCCTTCATGCATCCCGCAAATAGATTCAAGGGTTCAGGACTGTCCAGAGAAGATATGGAGAGTGAGTGGGGGCTGGTATGTGAAGAGGAAAAGATGTGCAGGTCGTATCCTGCAAATGTTGTTCTTCTGGTCAAGGACTGAGTTCCAGCCCAATGCCCAATCACATTCTTGCCCTGTTACATCCCTTTTCCTTCTCCATGGCCTATAATATATTATTTGCATTACTTCTCTATATCCCAGTGAAATGTTTATCTTGGTAGCTTTACTGCCCTCCTGCATTCTGTGTTACAATGACGATTTCTCATCATCTAACCTTTTCTGATTCTTTGACATTGAAAAGACCTGCCAACTTCAGAAACACCTGGAGACAATCCAAAGGGACTTCATCATTTTCAACAGAGAAAAGTAAGTTTGACCTGAGAAAATAGACTATACCTTGGCAAGTGTTCTATCGCATGTCACTAAGAGTATTTAGATTGAAGAGTATCTGAGTAATCTTCAGGAAATTAAGTGGTGAGTTTGGCATAAAAACCACAGGGGAGCATGGGAGATTAAGTAATGCTAAGATTCTTCCACCGGGCTGCTGCTCAGACTCGTGCATTTTCAAAATGAACACCAACAAGGCTTTACTGATGTATGCAACCTCACCAAAACCAACTTATGACGACCATTCATGTGATTAGGTGCATGATGGCACAGTGGGGTTGTTGCTCTCCTGTTGGGTGTAATTATTCTGATGCAGTCAGAGAAAGAAGAGCAGGAGTTCTCAGCTTGGCCAATAAAAAGGGGTAGATGTTTAAAGGGCAGGCATTTTCTGCTAATGTGACACCTTTGCAAAGGTGACGCCCATTCTCAGCCAACCATCTTTGGTCCCCTCCGCGTTGCACACCCCAGTAAGCAGTCAGCTAGCTGAGACTTTATGCTGCTTTCTGTGTAATGTGATATCTGCCCATCTCCAGTAACACCTGGCAAAATTGAATCAACAGGCATCACCTCCCCACTTGCTAGCCGAGGGGCACCAGCTGGACATCATATTACGTGGGGCTATTCACTCTGCATGTGGTGGGCTGCTCTTAGGCCTGCAGCTGGTGGAGCTAACAGTTGATGCTTGGAGCGCTTTGTAAGCAAATATTCTTGAAATGGTTATTATGCCGTCTACCCAATAATGTAAATACTGGCAAGGATGCACTTGTGTAAATGAAAGGAGAGGGACTGATTTTGGATGTATAGTATATACTAGAAAGCAGCATTATAATGTGATTATAGGTAAGCTACTCAAAGGTTGCTTGAGCTTCACGGTTGTTTATTCTTTTTCTTCTCTGTATTTTAGGATGAGGCAACAGCATAACGAAATGCAAGACAACTTGATGCTGGCACAAACCAAAGACAACCAGGCAGAAGACGATCAGAATAATAATATTTGAAGTCAGTTTAGCTGTTCCTTGGGTACACTATCAAAGGTTGAGGCTTCTACTTTAGCTACTTCATGGGGCTTGATAAATAACATTGCACACTGCTATCCAAAAAAGGCAGATACCTTGATATGGGCCTTCAGACTAGAAGCTGAGTGTCTCCTTCCACCGTAAGGAATTAGGGCCTAGTAAATAAGGCATAGATTCTTAGATTTATGCTTTTTCTGATCTTTAGGGAAAGCGCTTGACCATAAAGGGGAAAATACGGTATTTTTTCCATAAGGAAAGAACAGTGGAGAAAGGTTAAGTTCCTATACTCTTTATGTAGCATTTCTGTTGGGGTTGCTGATTGCTGGGTTCAGTCAACTACATGCAGGGAAGCATAAAAGTTCTTGATTCAGGGTTTACCAGGAGAGTGGCTGCATATTTCAAAGATGATTCACAGAAATTGGCCTGAACGACAATTGCACATCTATAATGCACATGAAGTCCAACGTAAAAATCAACTTTTTCAGTAACTGCGCTGATCTAATGTTTACATTCGCTATACCAGCAGAAAATACACAGAAAGGGGAAATGATATTCTTGGTGGTAGGCTTTCTCACTCCTGGCAATGCAGGAAAACCAGCTTTCTAAGGTTAATTCAGTGTAACAGCAAATGGGAAATCTGAGTGTGAGCCCATAGAAGTGTTGTGTAAGTTGGAAAGTGAACCTGGCAGCAAGTTCAAAGCAGGCTGTGACTCGCTAAGATAGTCCAACAGGACCTGCTTATGGACAGAACTTACCAGCAAGTGCTACAGATAATTCTTCTCTTCGCAGGAGGCAGCGTAGGGTGGATCTTTAATCTTATGTTTTAAAAGTTTGCATCTTTCAGGAATAATCTGAGTGCTGGTTATTCTTGCCATTTCATAAAGCACCACATTATCTTGTTTTATGGCTCTTAAGACCAGCGTGATGTACTCCATACAGTTAAGTGTGATGCTGCAGCTTTGTAGTCTTAGGTTGCAACTTGTTGTGGGATGTGGTCTGACCTGTGAGCAGCTGCCAAAAGTCAGACTCAGGGAAGTGTGGTGGGAGGGCACATACCGAACACTAAAATTAGATAAGGCTACTTTTTGATAGTAATGAGAATACTTCTTTAAGGGAAACAAATGCACTTAAAATTCACTTAGTTTTAGCTCTGTCCTGCTTCTTCCTCCCCGGGTTCTTTTCTTCCCAAGCTAAGAGACAGGCAGCAGAGGGACTGAATAGTGCATGGATGTCAAATTCAAGCCCAATAGCCTTTGATTCCTGTCCAAATCTTATTTTCAATTTAAGTCAAAATAGGTTGTGTGATGTACCACCATTCTGAGCCTAACCGTTCTCTGATGGCCTTCCTTTTTCAAGCGAAAATGCTCTCCATGTATATTTTTTTTTCAAAAGCAAAAGCAAAAAGCCCACAATCTACACAAAAGCCAGCAGACATAATCCCGTACTTTAAAGTCCCACTGATTTTATTGGAAGAGTTGAAAGTTGGCTGGATTGTGTCCATTTTTAAAATTTTGTCCTATGGAAGCAAGACATGGATGTGCTCATTGTCCATTTGGATAACCTAGTAAGCAGTTCCAACTTCGTTTCAGGCCATAATGTTTATAGGCTCCCTGGATACCTCCCAGGTATACAAATTGCATTCATTTAGTAGTTGGCTTCAGTGGAATTTGCTTCTGGAATATGTAGTTTCACACAAGCTCAGAGAAGCACCTGCAATGGAGGGGGGGAGGTAGAAACCCATCTTTCTCTGGGCAGTTTTAATCAGAAGTGGAATTGCTGCCTTTAACATTTAGATAAATAGACCTCTGTCCTGTAAAACCTTCTGGTTGTCACTGCATATCACTCATTTATGCACACCCCCTACAGAAAATAATCTTCAATATACTTTTCAGCCAAAAATGTTGCCTTTCTTCCACCAAAGCAGACCTTGGTGGCTGGCGGTGACTCAGGTTTCCGGCTGCTTTCAGCCAAGGTCTAGCACATTCTTGATATGTAAGTTTCAGAATTAAACCAAACAGATGTGGAATTCTTTTAGGAACAAAGCTGAGTGTCTGGAAGGTCGTTGGCATCAGCAGAGTGACTCCCATATCTGATATGATTACACTCAAGAAAAAACAGTGCCTTCCATGGCTAGGGCCAAACATCATACCTGGTTCCTTTTGTATTCATTGCAGCAGTCTGTCATAACTCTTTCTTCTGTAGCCTCAGCAGGAATGACTTTATAGAGAGTTAGCTCATCCCTGGACAGCAATGTTTATAATCTAATCAATTTACCCTTCCATCAGTAAGGGTAGATTAAGTAGAATAAATACCAACTTTCTGAGTAAGTTTTATGGCTGCTTTATTCCTATATTGTACCTTGAATCTTGTACAGCCAAGATGGCCAGCTGGTGGTCCCCAGATGGCATCTTGCCTGCCATCATTCTGCCTGGCCTGCTGCACCAGGTTGAATGTTCGAGGCATGGCTTGTTACCTGGCAGAGGCGCATCCTCATCCAAAGAAATTGGTCTTGACTATTGTTCGGCACCAACATCTATAGCCCCTTAAAGCAGCTTTTGCACGGCTTTCTGGACACCTGATGAAAGCATCACACTGGATATACATGCAAGTGCTATACTACCTGCGTTCCAATTTTATTCACATGTAACATGTAGGAGGAAGAGCATTTGGGGAGACGTGTCTTCCTTGGTGAGGAAGGGCACAGGAGGATTCACAAAAATGGTATGTTTACAAGAGCAGGGAACAGCTTTGTTGATCTTTGCCCCCACTCCTTTAAAAGAGGACACTTTTCCTGATTCATACATTGTAAACACTGCTGTTAATATCACCTTCAGCCCTCCTTTGAAACAGGAATACCAGTTGTGGGAAGACTGTGTTTTCTTGCAACTCCAAAATGTGAACTCAGCATTACACTAAACAACAGATTAAATACATGCACATTTAAAAAACAAAACAAAAAACTACTTTCACAGTAGCAGATCCAGACTGGGACCGTGAGTTTTAACTCTTTCTTGACTCATCCACTCCATGGCCCATCTCCCAATGGGATTCTTCGGGATCTTGCATTTGCATCATAGCAGGTGTTTCCCAGGACAACGAGCAGGCTTGAGCTGGAGGTGGGATGTTCATCAGGAAAGCAGCACTTGGGGAAAGAACTAACCCTACCTCAAGTTGCTTTTTGAAATTAAATTGCCCCATCGTTCATTTAAAATATGCTTAGTTCAATCCTTATTGAAAAAATGTGTTTTCCAGCAATAGAAGCAGGTGCACAACTTCATTAATTGGGCAGTTCAATAATTATGCACCGAGTCAGAGAAATGGCTAACAAAACCCTAGATTTAAGAAGTCATGAGCTGTGAAATATTTTGGTGATGACATGGTTAAAAAAACCCTGATTGTTTGTATTTAAAGGATTGAAGGGTTTCAGGTTTGAACAAACCATTTTCCCCAAGAAAATGCTGACTGATAAACTTGTGTTCAAGACCACAGTGCAATGACAATCTAAACACTGGGTAGCTTTTTGTCAAGTGGTAATAGGTATTTACATCCCATTTGCTTAACAAATGTAAGCAGGGCTAAGTGTCATTTGTGTCTCTTACATAGAAAGTGTGTGATGAAAGAAGGCAGCTTGTTCTTTATAAGAGTTCTTGTTGGGTTCATAATTATGGCCAATTTAATTAAAATACCCAAAAGAAATACTGGGCATTTTCCCTCTCTTCCATTTTATAAACACAATCTATTAAACTTTCTATAAGACTTACAGTACATAGACTCTTTTCTTTTCAAAATAATAAAATTGGTTGTATTAATTCTTTAAAAGTCCATGCATTTGGTTATGCCATGTTTTAACAGCCTGCTGGGTGGCAAGCTGACTTTCCAAGGCACGCAGAAGTTCAGTGGTCATGTCAAAAGGGAGTTTGTCCCATTTGCCTGGACTTTTACAGGGGCAACACCCCAAAGGAAACTGAATCCAGGCAGCAGAGCCCCTCCCCTCAGCCCCCCTCCCTCACCTTCCTGTGCTGCAACTCTTTCTTTACCCCCCACACACAAAGGCAGCAAACTGTCCCAGGAGGCAAACTTCATTCTGGTCCTCCATGCAGCTTGTTTCTCCCTGTGTGAGATTAAACAATGTGGGAATGAAGGCTGTGGGTGAGGAAACACATGGGGCAAACAAGAAGTGTGTTGTAGAGGAGAGGAGATGGTGGAGAGCTGGGGATAGAATGGGTGTGTGTCCAGGCAACCGACCAACTGGGACCCACAGGGATGCCTTCACTTGCTTTCATCTGCCCAAAACATCAAAAGTAGCCGATTGGCCTGTGTTACAGAGCGAGCTCTGAAACTTTTGCCATCAGTGGAACGAACTGAATGCACGGCTTCTTCTGGTGTAGTGTAATTCGAAATGCTTAGAAGTGGAACCCTCTAGCCTTTCTTGAAAACTGCTACTACTGTTTAAAAAAATATAAACAATGTGTATGTGAAGATTTTTATCTGGTTCCAATACAGGAAGTCTTGGGGGAGGGAGAGCTCCAGTATGGTTAAATCTTCCCTGCAGAGAATTTATATTGCAATGCTACTCGAGCTTCAAAGTGCCAGACCCCTGTGCAGTATACTGTAAGCTGGAGGCATGGTCCAAGCAGGGTGTGTGCAGTCTTTAGTAAATTATTTGGAGCTGGGCAACAGTGAAGTGCACAGCTTTTTCTGCCTTAGTACTGAGTTTATAAAATTATGTAGCTAGATTGTTTTTAAATCCAGCGCTGTAGCTACCTGTAGCATCTACCTGCCGCAGAATTTGTAGCATTTTGCGTGCCCTTACCATTTTGTTAAGCTGCAGTTTGTGCAGGTGAGGGAACTCGTAAGCCATGCATTTTGACTTTATGTTGCCGGGGTAAAGACAAGATGGCTGCAGATTCTGGCTACAATCACAGCTTGGCAATAATGTCTATGTTTAGCCTCGGAGCAGCACTTAACAAAAATGAACCACAGTGCCAAGTCTCCTTTGGACTACTTAAGCTGAACGTGGCTCTATCGTAAGACTGAAGAATATGGATTTTATCAAAGAGTGCCTACGCACTACTTTTCCACTTGCAAAATTTGATTTTCACCAATCCACCCTACTTATCCATTGTCTGTATGCCACTATAGCCTTCTCTGTGTCCAGGACAAGTGCTCCTGAAGTTGGCGAATTTCTGGAATAGTGTAGTATAATACAGTACTAAGGACTTTGCCTTGGGGGAACAGAAGAATTTCTTGGTAACACAAAGCCTTGCTTGAGTACAAATCAATTATTTCAGGGAATTAGCTTCAAGCTACTTCTGTTCATAATCATAAATATTAACCCAACTGAGGCATGCCAACTGGCCAAACTTTCCTAAACTGGTCTACATATGCAGTATACAGAGGCAATACAATCAATCAATCCAGTGTGACTACTCAGCTATGATTTTAAAAAAGCCTCCACCTGTCTGCAAAGGAGAAACTGAACATGGCTGGCAGGAAAAAATGCTTGGCTAGAGCCTATTTACAGGGCATTTTTACAGGAAACAGTAAACAAGTTTCCCTGGGTGCAAGTTCATTTTTGCTGGCATCCAGTCATCTCGTACTGCTGCAGGCATAGACCAGGCCTAAATCATGCCTCTCCCAAGTTAACACAAAGCTTTTTCTGAGTAAAAAAAAAAATAGCGACACTGAATTTTACATTTCAAAAGTTACTTCCACATTCATGAGCTCACATTTAAAGGCTTTGACCTACATAACCTGTTAAGTGTAGCAAAATGCAGCCTTCTTTTTAAAAGCGGTGATTTATGCTGTCCAGTTGCATGGTTAGGCTGTCTCAGATTACAAGAAATGTGCACTAGCTTGATCCAATTATTTCACTAATCTTTTGGGCAAGATTATAGAGAACATTAAATAGGAAGGAATCTGGTTTAAGCACACGCATTGCTTTTTCTGTGTAACTTGCACTGTATGTGTACCAAGTGAGCCACTAGTAATATCAGGGTGTTTCAAGTTTCTCTTGTGAAGTTGATGGTGGACATAGAAAGGTAAGTAGGAGCAACTGAATCTTATTACAACTATTTCAGAAAATAGTTTTATTTCATTTCCGAATGTTAGAGTTCCTAAGCTAAAATGCTTTTAAAATGTATCTTTACACATTCTTCCTGCTTTCACTAAACATGGTATCATTTGTAATTTGGCACCACCATGTGGCAGCATGGAAATAATATGGCACTAATGGCTAAATAAATGTCCCAAATGTTTCAGCAACCGGAGAAAATAAAGAGGAGGAATTGTCAAATAAGGCACAGTTTTTTCTCTCTCTGGAAGTACAATAATGCAGAGAGATCTAAATCAGAAGCCTTGAAAACCAAAACTGATTTTCTTCAAACTGTGGGGGGGATAGGTAATAAATAGACTTGTTCATAGTCAAACAAGTAGAATGTTACTGTTCTATTAACTACATTGTATGGCTTTATACAATTGGAAAATGTTTTCATCTCAGAAAGTTTGTTAATGAAATCTTTTAACTGTTTTCGAACTACCCATTAACAAATTACTTTATACCATACTTCCTCAATTCATTGGATTAACCTGAATCATGGAAAACCAGAAATAAACATCCATAATAGAAAGATCAGAAGGAGTGAGTTGACTGTGATATGGTAGGGCTTTGAACTGGAATTCCAACTGGGAGTCCTGTGCCACTGATTCGGCAGTGTAGCTTGGTGGGCAGACCGTCAGGCTGGGGAACGGGAGATCCAGGTCTAGTTCGCACTTGGCCATGAAGCTCACTTGGTGACTTTGGGCCAGTCATTTGCTCTCAATCTAACCTACCTTGCAGGGTTCTTGTGCGGATAAAATGGAGATATGTAAGCAGCTTTGTGTTTCTCACAAGCAGAAAAAAGGTGTGTTATACATGCAACAAGAATTCTATGCCTCCCCCCCACCACCTGCATCCAGTAGTGATGGAAGGCCAGAGCACTGCACCCGTAGAAAATTAAAGTGGTCAGAAACACTTAAGAACCAATTGCTGCAGCGTATCAATGAAATAGCCAAATAGAATACAGCTGAACGCTTCTAAAACATTTAAACCCATGGGCAATTTAGAACAAAGGAGCGGGCAAGTTCTGTTTCAGTTATCTAAATTTTACTATACAACTTATTTAAAATATAAAGGATTATTTCCCGGCCTTCACTAATAGTTACTAATGGACTACATTATAACCTTGGTTAAGCCTGTAATCCCCACCTCATTAATTTGGTGATTATTAAGTCGGACATCTAGAATACCCAGTCTGGTGTGAGGACTACCCTAAGAGCTAGACTGGCAAAGGCTGGGGGACGACCACAGGAACAGTAATGTCATACTGGCTTCCTCCCAAGCTGGCAAAGCACATCACTGAATACAAGTGAGGCTCTTCCAGTGTGTGTGCCAGTACCGGTCTCTAGGTAGGTATTACATTTGTGCATTTCCTCTGGAAGGCTTCATTCACATGCACGAATAGGTAGTAAGTTCCATTGCCCAGTGTCCAATATTGGCCTTTCTATCTTCGCTGGAGCAGGCAACTGTACACCCAATTCTAGGTGACAACAGAAAACAAAAAGCAAGGCCTGAAGAGTCAAAAGCCATGGCTGTTGTGTGCTAGTGCAGTGCACCGAGTCAAAGATGAATAAACACTGGACAGTGTAAAATAGAAGTTATCCTATCATACCCTAATAATTAAGGTAGGTTGAAACATAGGAGTTTATAGCTGGGCTAGTCACCCGGTAGGCTGTGTGGCTGTACAACAATTAAAAACTGGTCTGCTTATCCAAGTTTCACCAACCAGTTATTCACCAACCATTCCAACTTCTCTAGTAATTAACATAGCTCTTTTGACTTGTATTTGGAAGCATTATTTAGGTGGAGAAACACTTGGTGCTGTGATCTTCTACCTGTACTGTGACATAGGGCACATTTACCCCTGGCACATTTTCACTTCCACAACTGCTACCGATTCAAGGAAGCCTCAGGAGTGACAAGTGAAAACGGGGCGTTAGTGTCCGTCCTCAACAGGAAACCCAAGTGAACTTACCTGCAGCTTTATGATTGGTGAACGCCACAACATTTCCACTCCCATTTTTAGTACACATCATCCTGGTTATGAGGTGACTGAACCATACGGAGCCTGAGACTTAAGCTTCTGCTGAAATGGTGAAGAGGCTCTAATAAGGGGTCATTCTGGGTCTTTAGCGAGAAACCAGCAGTGGATTTTTTTCGTAAGTGATAGCATGCTCACACTTTCTCTACTGTCTGGAAGAGGGAAGCAGGAAGCTGTACTGTGGAAAGTTGGCAGGCTAGTCCAGACAGTAGATTGGGGGCTTTACCCCTTCTTTATCAGGACAGCCCTAAGCTGGACATCAAGCCCTATCCTATCACCCATGTAAGCCTGGTCTGCCTGGAAAAGGAGCTAGCTGTCTGACATAAAACTGCAGACCAGTAGCTGGACGGAAATAAGGTAACTGCCTCTCCCCCAAGCACTACCATGTGATTGTGGTAGCACACACAACAAGACACAGAGTTGTAAGCTATGGCAACGATTTTAGGTTATGGCCCCAGGTGGTGGTTGGTGGACTCTTGCTAGAAATCTGTCCTGTAAGGTACTAAACTTTGCTGACCTGTTGACACTAAGCCAGTCACGTGTGGAGTTCTCCTGAAACTAGGCAGACTCCACAGTTTCACGCTCTTGGCTAACATGGGGCAACTCTACCTATTTAAATGATGACTCAGTTCCAGATTGTTTCCCACTGCACACATCAGATGTGTGTTGAGTCTGCCATAACTGAAAAACATAGAAATGAATTCAACTGCTAATTCAGCTGATGGTTCTCTGTTCCTGTTTCTTGTATGGAGTACCTTTATTATCCGCTGTTGTGGAAATACAAGGTCTTGGAGATGATGGAGCCACTGGTCTCAGCCAATGTGGTTAATGATGTTAATGATCATGATTATGATAAACTGGGCTGAATAAAGCATAAGTCCAATCCTCAGGCAAAGGTACTGTACAGTAATTTGCTATCTTCTGAAGAAATCCACTGGATAGCTGTTTCATATTTGACAAGACTCCTTTTAAAATTAAAAAATAGGTTGACAGAAAGCAAATCTGGTCTAAATAAGGGTATGCCTGCGCAGTGGCATTCCATGCTTCCAACTTCACTGTTTCTATGCTTAACTGTAAGCAACATTTCCAAAACCAAGTGTACTTTTACTGGCTCGCATGGAAGCTGTTACTGGGTGTAGGAACTGCAACCTATGCAAGTTCCATGGTTGCCCGTCTCTGGTGGTGAAATGCAAGTGGACCATCACAGATATGTGCACTTTGAGTGTTGTGGCACACAGGGTGCAGCTTTGCTTTTCTTTGATGGCACTGTGTGTGCGCAGACACACCAAGCTCAGTAGGGACATATGGCCTCCAAAAGCTTTCACTGGCGCCAGCTCTGCCCACAGAACAGAGTAGAAGGAAACACTCACTAAAGCCACCTCTGAAATGTTTGAGGAGAGACATTGTGACAATTTTCCTGGAACCATCGGTTATTGTGCCATGAAAGCAAGCAGAAGTAACAGGTGTTGAGCAAGTGAGAAAGAAGTTCAATCCAAAGTTAACTTTGCTTGTATGCTTCTCTCTGATCCAATGCCACCAAGTTTCTCCCATTCCTCCCTCCTCCCCCAAAAAGGAGCAGAAACCAACTGACGGATCCAGGTGGGGAAAAAGTTACTTTGTCACAGGAGGTCAGTTAGAAAGAACATGCCTTTCACTTTTTTATTCAATAAAATGTACGAAGTAATAAAATCTCTAACAGGAAGAGGCGACAACAGAGCCATTCCAAAGATGGCTGAGCTTTCCAAGGGCCTCATGTAGTGCTGAGGCAGCTATGACTGGTCAGCATTGTGTGGAAACAGAAGAACATGAACACGATACACAGATCTACTTGGTCCCCCCATCCACCTCCCACTACCCTGCCCCACCAACGTCTGCCCTCCCTTTCCCAAAACTAAACTCCTTGGTTGAGTCCGCCAAGTAACCTGACTAAACAGCTTGCTCATGTCGTTAGTTTCCCACCTTCCTTCATTCCCCTTCTTACAATGTGTCATCACACAAGCACTCACCATGTACAATTACATACTCTTAACTTAGTCACCTGTCAGATTTGCATGCATGTAAAAAAATGGGAGTATTAAGGCTATGAATAAACAAAAAAGAAAACCCGCAATATTTTTTAAAGCTAGGTAGCGAGTAGCATTTATGAAACATAAGGCTTGAGGCTTATTGATTTTTCAAACTCTGGATTCTTCTCCTTTGCTCTTTCCTTTTTAAATATCAAGGTACCATTGCTTAGTTTTCTCAAATACCAGTTTCCCCTTCCCCTCCCTGATTATTGGGTGCTTAACTCAGAGATGTGATATTGGAACGGCCTCCTGGGGGTGCTACTATGCGCTTGCTTGCAGAGCGAACACCTTCGTCAACCTGGGTACCTGCAGGGCATATATAGGATGAGGGTAGAAAAGCGTGGGAACAGGAAGTTAGGAGTGTTTCTTCGAAAGGTTATCAAGCAATTGCATGGCTGCAGGGACCACTCCACACTGTACGGCTTCTAAATCTACCACTAACATGCTGCAGAAAGCCACAGAAACTCCATGGAACCAAGGAAAATCCTCTCCCGTTCTGCTTCCCCACAGTGTTTCAAACCTGGGTAATATTGTTGATTTGGCAGCAGCCAGGGAAATGGTACTTTCCTTTCCTGAAAGTCGTGCCTTTCAGATTGACCCTAGTACGCCACCTTTTCACACTTACCAGATAAGCTAAAACCAGACTGGTGGAGATTCCTTACTGGGGGCGTCTGCCTGGTAGGGGATCCTCGAGTAGAGCCTGCAGGGGTGCCCCCTTTAGGTGTGGTGGTCAAGTCAAACACAGGGCCATCATACAGGCCCCTTGGCACAGCATGCATTTCAGCCATCTGTCAGAGGGAGCACAGAGAAGCAATGTCAGCAGTACCCGCATGCCAGGAGGGTTGCCTGGCTTCCTTGACAAGCAGCAGAAGCTTTTCCACTTTCGGTGTCAGGCGTCTCATTCACTATCTTATGCACCCAGAATGAGCAGGGGCTTTGCTGGTTTGATCTGGTCCCTGATTGATCTGGTTGTTTGAGGGACAGTATAGCCCACAAAAGTCAGCCTCCTGAAGATGGCGGAAACAGGCTACATAGCAAGGCAACAAAAGAAAGCAAGGGAGAGCTCCTTGAGGAGCAGACTGTAACCATTCTGCCCATTGCTCAATAGTGATGTATAAGTAGACCCCCTTCTCAGGTGCAGAAGCCACTGCTGTTTGGCTCTCTGTGCATCATGAAGGCAATTTCTGATGCTGAAGGCCATGGGAGAACCCACATCACAGACTCCCTCCACACCAGGTTGATCCCTTCCAGGAACTGGGACAAAACTGGCTATTCCCATGTTACAGAGGGAAATGAGTGGAGCTGCAGCAGATCCCATGTCACAGATGCAACTTGAGTACCCCGAAAGAGGGTTGGTTTCAGTCTAGTTTACCTTCCTCCTGGCTTTGATACGTTTGTAGACGTAGTCCGAGAAAGGGGTACCAGGAATGAAACGTCCTGTCCCCTGGGTCACATGAAGATTGCCATCCTCCAGCATTATCTTCCCCTGGCATATGACAACCAGTGGGGCTCCACGCAGCTCCATTCCTTCGAAGATGTTGTATTCTGCTGCCTACAACACACAGAACTCAGTATGCTGATGATGTACCAAGTACTAGTCCATCTAAAGCAATACCCAGTTTTCAATATAACTTCTGACATGCCATCACTCTATCAAATAATAATAATAATAATAAGAATAATCTTTTATACACTGTTCATTCAGCAACAGGTTCTCTGAATGGTGTAACTTTGTGGGGTGGAAAACTAAATTATCTAGTAAAGAAAGAGAGGATGGACTTCCCTACCTCACTCATACCCTATGCGTGTGAATGAGTGGGTGGCTGTGCTGAGAATATTCAAAATGCAAGGATAATTTGGCATAGCTGACAATACATTAATGTTCCAATCTGGAATGCCCCACTGTGTGCGCACATGTGTGTATTCAAGTGTGAGACAGATGTTCAACTTGTTCATGCATGTTCATTAGTGCTTAGTATGCTTTCCCCCCAAAGGAACTTCTTCTTCCTTCTCTTTTCTCCTCCTATATTATTTATTTACTTATTTTATACTGATAATTTTAATTTTATATTATTATGTTCGTAACTCATTGTATTTTTGTATTTTTGTATTTAATGGTAATTTATTATGTTCTATTGTATTTCAATGTATTTTATTGTGTTGTAAGCCGCCCGAGGCTTCGGCAAGGGGTGGCATAGAAATGTAATAATAATAATAATAATAATAATAATAATAATAATAATAATAATAATAAGTTATGTCATCAGCTGATTGGATGCTACATGCCACAAGACAAAAGAGAGGCATCAAAATGTTATTAAGCAACATTTAACAAATGAGTTCGAAATTCATGGTGACTGATTAACAAGAGGCTGACCTTCTAGGCAATCATGCAATGTCTCCCTGCCCAACCAGAGACTTACTGACTGGTGGCTTTTAGCAGATACAATTTTCACTGCATCAGGATCCCATATGACCAGGTCACTATCTGATCCCACAGCAATTCTCCCCTTCCTTGGGTACATGTTAAAGATCTTGGCAGCATTGGTGCTTGTCACAGCCACAAACTGGTTTTCATCCATCTTCCCTGTAGCCTGTTAAGAATGAATTGCACAAAGGAAGATAAAGCAAACAAATCTAAGCCATATTGCATGATGATGTATATGAAAACCTCTAGATAAGGGGCAGTACTGCATTGAGACATGAAGCTGCCTCCTTGTAAGGAAGCATGGAGAACCTTTTTCAGAACAAGGACACGCTCCAAGGTGCCAAGACACTGGTGGGCAGCACCAAAACTACCTCCACAGAAATCCATATGCCTTCAGTCAATCATTTACCACCCTGCGTTTCCTTCCCTGTCCCCTCTACACCTAGCAATTAGGCTTAGAGAAATGGTCCTGACCGCACAAAGCCTACATTCTGCATGTGAGAAAGCAAGAAGGACAAGCAAGGGGTTTTTGCAGGCCACATTCACCCACGGACCAGACATTTCCCAATCCGGAGGTAAAGGAACCCTGATGGCATGAGCAGTCAAATATTTCTGTTCAGTAGAAACTCATGTGTGTGCATGTTGAAGGGAACAGAAAAATACAAGCAACAACTGACCTGCAGTGCAGCAGTCTGCTTCATGCACTTCTCATTCCTAGTGACTCAACAAGGCTTAGCCCTTTCCTGATAATTCACTCTTCAATATTCCGAACAACTCAATACCTTAAAGCATGTAGTCACCTAGTAATCTCACCAAGAGCTGGATAGATCACCCTCCCCTCCCCTCCCCTCCCTTCCGCTCCGCTCCCCTCCCCTCTCTTACCACCGACTTGTCCCAGATAACAGACATCCGTTCCTCGATACCATTAGTTCCCTCTGGGATTGCAGTGAAGTTGTCTTTCCCAATTGCTTTTTGCGCTGTACTGAATGTACAATGTGCACTCCCTGAAACATGGAGGTCCCCGCTGGCTCAAAGACAGACAAACATATTAAATATTTGTTAGCCATGCCCACTTATACAAGCATTATTTTTATTCAGATTTTGCAGCATCTATAACAAACAGCAGTAACAGAAATGAAGGAGCAGATGTTAACTGAAATTAGAATTAAAATATTTGAAGCTTAAAAACACAGATGCACTGTTCTGTTGGATGGTACAAAACTATCCCAAAGAGGCTTCTAAGAATTACACTGCTTCCCTGTCACTACAGTATCAGTCCTCTGCAGAATTATTGAAAATCCAGCCTTCTGTTTTCAATCGCATAAAGCAAACCAGATTTAATTCATATAAGGAGACAAAGGGAGCAGAAGGAGGTACTTGGCTGAGGACCAGCTGCGAACTTTGTTTTTTACTTCTGCTATTCAAAAGGCTCCTCTCCCCCCCGCCCCCCGCTCCCTTTGAGAACAGCAGCAACTTCATTTCAGCAAAATGATCCTGTCTTCTTTGGATGAGTGCAGTGGCAGCATCAATGTGTGCACACAGTTAACTGTACTTAGAGGAGGCAGAAAATACTTCAAAGCACACTCTGACCCAGTAGTGAGATTAACAAATTCTCTCTTGGGGAAAGTTGTAATTAGTAGTCAGGGCTCTTGGTTGAACACGCAAAGAACTGAACAGATAAGCACACTTGTCCAAAGCAAATATATTGGGGTCTACCAGTAAAAGAACGAAAATTGCAAAATTATAAACTAACATCTGATGATCTTCCTTAATGTGCATTTACCCAGTGTATTTTTAGCTGCAGTGTATGTCAGCGGATTACAAAAAATACAATGCTTTCATGCTACACTGTTCAGTGACTGCAGCCAGACAAAAGCAAGCAAAGGTGAGAGATCCATGGAAAGGTACAGAGAAAGGATCCGCCAAGCTTTTTTAAGTAAGGTTGTCAAAAGCACCAGCAGATGTTGCCTTTCTCGCTAACAGTAGTATATATCTTACCATAAAATGAGAAAAAGTCCAAGATCTTAAATCTTCAGGTACCTAAAGCATAATTCCCTTCAGAAAATGCCTCTGTTGCTCAACAGGGAAGCAAGGCAATCCTGGCATCTAGCTCCAGGGTCATCCTTGTTTCGACTGCCTCTCAGAGTCACACCAGGCAACAGGTTAGGACCAACGTACTGTTTAAAGAAAGCCTGCTGACTGGTGTAGCCTAGTCACATGCACAGGGCAGTGTGTGCGTCTTCTCATTATCATGGAAGGCAACCCATGATCTAGTGCGGGGTTGCAGGCCCTACACTGCATTGCTCAAAGAGACACTGCACATGAACAAGACTTAAGTGCATCGTGGGACCCATTCCTGGTGTCACAGAACTGCATGGGATTCTTCACTGGTCCGGTGTGTGAAAATATTAAAGGGTGAGGGAGGAGCCCAACTGCCTGCCTGGCTCAAACAGCCTTTTCAGAGGGCTTGGTTTGTCTCCTTATTGAAAAAGGTGACTTGTGTACTTGACAATGTAAGAGGAGCCAAAAGGGTGAGAATGAAGGACATTCCTGCCTTGAGCCAAATCCACCATCTTGTTTGGAAAAGGAATCCATATTTCAGGATGTACTGACATTTGTCCATGTTGGCATTTATGCAGTATGAAGAAGAGCAGTGTAGGAGCAATGCCACAACAATTTTGACTTTCATAATCTAAGGAGTATTTTAATGGTTGCATTCAGCAAGGTTTTAGTGCAAATTATTCATTTACATCTTTCAAAAATTAATATGGTCTGAAGAAACTCAGCTGCTTGCTTAGACCTGTTAGTTTGCAAGCTTGCGACAGTAGAGGGCAGCAGCAAACAATGCCGATGGCCCAACGCTCATAAACTGCACAGACTTCCATGGAAACTTCCTGCCGTCTACTGGCTGCCAGGGAATCAGAGTTGAAAGGATGCACGGTAATTAAGCAAGAAAAAGAAGAATCCTTAAAGCTTTGTCTAAACATGAAGAAAGGAAACTAGAGAGACGGTATGGTCTCCAGATGGACCCCGTGTCTGATTTCTCAGATTCAAAGAGACTCTGAGCCTCATGGCCTCAGCCTGGGCCTCTGAACCAAAGTCCTAATCCAATGATAATCTCTATCTCTTCTTAATAATTTGGTGCCATATGTCTGCTTTACTGCCCAGAGAGATTTGTGTCAGTCAGATTTGTTCTACTAAAAACAAACACAAGCAGACAGAAGCAGGGGCTCTCAACACATAACCCTCCTGAGAGCTGTACCCAAGAGAGTCCTCAGCTTAAGAGGAGCAGGTGCGGTTCCTTTGCTCCACTTCATATGCATTCTCAAGAGATACAGCAGAGGCTGCTCCATTTGCCAAGGCAGCCACACGCAGGATTCATATGCAGGAACGCACACCGTGAGCCACAGTGCCTGTGTGTAACACTTGCCAACACCTTCATACGCAAGGCCTGCTAGGATACCCTTTCTGCTTCTACATGCTAGTTACATGCTAAGTTCACCTAAACATCGCTCAGTGCCAACGGGTTCCTTCTTTACCTGCTTTTTGGAGTAAGGACTGTTTCATTTCTAGAATTACCACTGACCTCAGCCTGAAATCATATCACACTGCCATTGTACATATGCATTCATGTATCCTCCAAATGAGCAACACAAGGCGTATAGAAACAGGTCACCATGGAAATAGTAGACTGCATCTTCCAGCTGGCAACTTCACCTGTTTATGCTCTACATACATGGCAGTCAATGCCAACGATCTGTCACCTCTACATGTTTCCGAGCTCTAGGCTGCATTATCTCATCACTCGGCTCCTGCAAGCAGGGTAGCAAGAGGCAGATTTTCCCTTATGTGCCATCACCAACCTGGCTAACAGTGAGTTGATATAATCAGGGGTGGTGGGATCTGGACTTAGAGGCGGAGAAGTCACAAATGCAGCAGCCTTTGCCCAGTTCTTGCTCCAGTAGTGTGTTCCATCGGTTCCCAGGCTGGCTGTGATTGGCTCACCAAACACTACGTTGCCTGGTAGTTAAAAACAAGGTTAATATACATTATGCAGAGGGCGGCAGGAAACTTATCTTGGTGACAGGCATGTTTCTAACATTCAGTGTGGGATTCTTGGTCCAGGATATGGAAGAAAGACTTTTAGCCAGACTTGGCTGCAGGCGCCATGCAGCCAGTATGCTTAGAATGTGTTTCCAAGCACCTATCAGATGACCTTTAAAGTTCCAAACAACCTGGAATGCTTCCCAGAGTGTTGCAGTAGTGAAGAGCAACAGCTAGGACTGAGGAGACCATGATTCAAATCCCCACACAACAACTAGCCCAAGGCAAACTAGTGAGCCCCACGACCATCTCCCAAAGTAACCTAACCCTCGGGATTATTGTGAGTGTAACCTGAGTAGGAGAAGAAAGGGACAATTAATGTCCCCCTGAGCTTTTTGGGGGAACAGCAAGATACAGAAGTTGCTTGCTCTGATAGCTTCATCTTCCAGTGTAAGCCTTCTCAATGGCAGCACTGCCTCTGTGAAGCACACTTCTCACAAGCCTTACCACTTGGGAAAGGCCTATGAAAACCTTCCACTTGAAGCAAACCTTTCTGGATCCTGGTATATTTCAATAACATTGTGCTTTGGTTTTTGTTCTGCTCACTTTTGCACGATGAGCCTTTTATAAGCCCCCCCAAGAGATTGTCGTGTAATTATACCGATGGTTATATGCACTGTTAACATCCATGGAAAACTTGGAAAAACAAGATTGTTAAAGAATGTCAGCTGGAAGCTCTCTGCAACAGGCAGCAAGGAACAAAGAACCAAGCAACCCTTTTGGGTCTGATGACACGAGCAGTGCTGAAACTACACTGATGCAGCTGCTTACCCTTTTTCCTGGCTTGTGAAATCAGATCAGCAGCACTCTTGCTCATCACTTTGGTCACATACAAGGGGCAGTTGGTTTGGCTAGCAATGGTGATTGCACGAAAGACAGCTTCAGCCTCCAGCTGAAACACAAGAGACACCATGAGTCCACAAAACCTCTCAAGGGAATCAATAATTTCACTGTGATAAATGTCATTTCACTGTATGACCTTTGCCTTTCCCTGAAAAGGTTTGTAAATGCATAGAAAGATCAGCAGATTTTCATATACCAGAAACATTAAATTGCCGACCATGCCCAAACCTAGCCAACATAGGACCATCTTGCTTCCTTACCTGGAAAAGCTGTTCCAGGCACAGCTGTCTGCCTCTTTCCATGGACTTCTGCATGCCCAACGGTCAGTCATTCATGCACATGGAACTGCGAACCACAGCATATGCCCTGCACAGCAGCAGTTTTTAGTTTTGAAGGCAGATGGCTCCTGCTACATGCAGCTACTGCAGCTGAACTGAACCACTGTGCTAATCCCTTGAATGTTCTGGAGAGCACCTTGCAGAATTAGAGTTGTGTTTGCTGGATTGAGGGAAGCTATTATATACAACAGCCAGCTAACTAACTGGGGGAAAAGATGGAGGAAGACTAGACAGAGAGGAAGAGAGAGAGAGATCAGGGTGGGGACAGCTATGGAAAAGGACCAGTAAGGAAGAGTTGAATGACTTGCTAGTATTCCATTTCAGTTTTAAATATATATTATTTTAATTAAATTTATATCCCACACTTTCTCCTCTTGTGAGGAACCTATGTAAGGTAGCTTACGTAGCTCTTCGCTTCTCCAGTTTATCCTCACAACAACCATGGGAGGTAGGTTAGGTTGAGTCAGTGTCAGATCCAATGTCACCCAGAGAGCTTCATGTCTGAGAGGGGACGAGAACTCAGACCTCAGTCCAACCTGCTAGCTGTTACACTACACTGGGGTCCACTAGTTCTTAAATGATCTTCCTGTGATGGAGGGATTACAGATAAAATGGCAAAAGTGACCTCCGAGAACCCTTGACTCATGCTTCAAGGCTGGAAGGGTGAACGCCTGCCACTTACCACCCAACAGGCTGAAGATCTTACTGCTCTTGCCACGTGGACATACACATGTGGCCATCAAGTATGCCTTGATGTGTATTCAGACATAGCACATATTTGAAATGGAAGGATGTCAATCTTTTTTCTTCTCTCCTTATTAACAGTGCTATGAAAAAGTAATGGATTTGATCTCTTTGTAAAGCTGTTCTTTTTCTTTGCTTTTCCCTTCTCTTTTTGTTTCATTTCAATTGCAAGCTAAAAAATATTTAAACATATCTGTCTGAATGATCAGTTACACTATAAAAAACCTGGTTATTCTCCAAGTCTCTATATAGGTTCCTTTTTGAGATAATAGTAGTATAGTTTAATTTTCAATTCAAGAAAAGCTATCATTCCTAAAAGAAAACTTTCATTATCAATCTGCAACTTAACGACAGTTGTCTTGCAGTGGGTTGTGTGTATGTCTACATCTGGCTATTTGCTTAAGACCCACTTCAGTTCCAATTATGAGGGCTTTTTTCCCTTCCTGTAATACTGTTGGCCACTTCTGCCTCCCATGGCATCAGAGGCCTGTAATTTTTATATCTTGTGTGCTGTTAGAACTTTCAGCATTTCATCAAGGAAGGTATCTTTGGAGCATTACATCATCCCCTATTCAGCCTGACATCATCCTCAAAAGCCTTCTGACTGCCAAGTGTTGACTAGCACAGCCTGAATACTGAAATTTAGAAGAGGAAAGGGAAAAATAAAAGCGTGTCCTGAAAATACAATGTCCCAAACAAGCAATATAGATAAAATTATTGAAGGACCCAGAGAACTTCTGCCATTTACCAAAGTTCTATAAATTCTGGCTCAGGCGGTTATATACAGGAACATAAATTCCCCTCTTAAATTAATTAAGAATGTTTTTCTCTGAGAAGAGCCAACTTGCCTTCTGTGAAAGGGGTATTCTTTGTGCTTTATAGGGGTAAATATGTGATTTGACATCTGTGGCTCAGATTCCACCTCTGCTTTGCACTCACTTTCTTGGCTAGTCTCTGAGCCTCATTATCTCTGAAATGTGTGTAGGGACAGAAAACTGTTAGTGGTTTTGTTTTATTTTTAAATTTTGGGATCTCACCTCTGCTTAGTACTTAGCTTCTTGGACAAGTTCTTCTTTATTACGTCTCCCTATTTCACAACCTTGAAAATTGGTATTTTGTGATTAGCCATGCCTAACACGGCAAGCAGTTTGAGAACGGGCAAGCTTCCTTCCTGGAAGCCATTTTGTAATAGCACCTATAACACGCTCTGAAGAATCCAAATATACCCACCAGGGGGTCTTTACAATACAGACGAATATTTCATGCAACAGTGCTGACAACCAAAATGGCATGTTTTCCAGATGGTTTCTGAGATGGCTATCACTGAGATCCTAACTTATACCACATTTGCTATCAATATGTGCACTGAAGAAGCCATCTGTGGGTTAAAACATAGATGCTTCCACAAACAAGCCTGAGTCAGCAGTTGTAAGACCATCCCTGTAGTCCAGCAGCAACCCTAAAAAGCAACATCACCACATAGAACTGGGACTGAGGCCTGAGGAAGCAACTTATGTATGTTTCAGAGTTCGCCTTTCTCTCCAGAATCCTCAAAACCAAACTTACAAGTGTAACAAGAAGAGAAATTGTGTAACATCCAACCTGTATGACTGGAACTTCTTCCAAAACTAAAGGTAGAAACACGTTAGCATTTAACAAACCCTACTTAAGGACAATAACAGTAATGAAAATATTATGTCCAAATGGTAACTCTTGTCATTTCTATTCCTTGTGGGTACGAAGTAGTACCTGCTAGATATACACAGTCATTTCCATTCATCTTACTGTTGTAGAACCAGCCAGTTCTGACTGTAACATTATGCAGGATATAAAGGGGGTTTACTCTGTTAAAAGGGCCATTACTATAAAAAGATGGTTTACAATTACCCTTCAACTGAAATGTACTTGGGTTAATATGCCAAATACCAATAAATGTTGAAGCTAATATCAGAGAAAATCCAAGTAAGATCTCGACAGGCACTCAGGATCAGGAAATCCTTTATTCTTACTTGTTAAGAACTGCATGCATCTTGGCTTTAGCAAAATATAGACCTAAACAAAGATTAGAGACTGGCAGGTTTCTAGGCGATCATTTTACAATGACAATACACTAGTAAAAAGTGTTTTTAATTAAGCCAGACTGAAATGTTTGTTTCTCAAAACTAGAATTCTTATAGCAGATACACAGTGCACCCAGGCCCTGTGCACCCTAGGCCTTTCAACTTGCACCATCTACTTCGGAGTATGATTTCAAACATGTTTCGTAGATGTTTGCATAGTGTGCAACTAACACAAACATTCCAAACAGCATTTCTCAGTTCATCAATGATAACTTACCTCTTCTGGCCTACTCAGCACATGGCCTTCTGGACCAGTTATTCCCATTTCCAGCATTCTAGCTTGCTCCTAATGAACATAAGCACAAAGAGGTTGAGACTCAAATGACCCAGCAATGAATAAATCTGAATTTATTCTTCAAACCTTCCTGGTTTTGATTTAAACAGTTAATGAAATATGGTGGTTACGTTACCCTGAAAATAAGATAAAACTGTAATGCTAAAACTTACTAATGTTATGCAGCTGGATCCATTTCCTGATTAAAGGGCTTTTTCAAGCTTTGTGTAAGTAAACAATTACAAAACCATTTCTGGAATACAGAATGATAAAGTGATCTAGCTGGAGTGCTACAACCAAGTTTTCAAACAGTTCATTAATATCTGAAGGATATTATATCTGCATATATGGAGGATCCAATCTGTTCATCCTGGTCCGAGTTTTTGTTTGTTGGCAGCACCACTGATTAATTAGAAGTCATAAGTGGTTATGTAGCCAAGGATGAGACAAGATCCTGTGAACCTTAACTGATGAGAATTTCCAATTAATCTTATCAGACATTTGCAATCTCTTCCTGCCTGGAACCCAAGGACCCAGCTGACTAAAAACTCTCCTGGAACAGCACTGTAAAATGTACCATTAAGAAAGGGAGTGAGCAGAAAGGACAAGTTCCTTGTCTGTGGCGGCAGTTCTTCCAGTGGTCATCAGTACATTCATACTTTTTGTCTGCATGGAACCCTGTTCAGGAAAATTTCTACAGCTAAGGAATTTGGAGAGGAACCCTCTGCCACCATCCCAGTGTGTTTCTGCTTATTCCCTCAGTTTCTTGAGACTGACACTGCAGCCTTGGAATTAACAAGGATCTTCAGTACCCACTTCAAGCTCAAGTATGACATCAAAGAGGGGATGGTGGGCAGGTTGTATGACCATTGTACCTACCTGCCTTTCTTCCTTGTGGTCTTTGTGCTTCACATATGGATAAGTAGAAAGCTGATCCACCAGGGGGAGGTTAGTACCCCATGAAAGAAGGACTGCCTGACCAAAGGAACAGCCAAAGGAACAGCCACCTCCAGCAAAGGCATCCAGCCATTAATACAAATTATTTTGGATGGCCTTGAAGAAGTTGCAACTTCACATAGGATGCAGATTGCAACTCCTTTGTTGCATGCAACAGGCTACTACAGTTATTTTAATAGGTGAATCCTTATTCTTTAATAGTTATTTTATGTTGTTGTCAACGAGACATGATTTTCAAATGTGAGATATTTATTAATTTTAATGGTTTATGTTCTATTTTTGGAGTGTGTGTGTATACGTATGATTTATTATTAATTCTATTTTCTCTATTTTGCCTCTAACTCAATTAACTTATTGGTCTTCTGTAGTTGTATTATATTGTGCTTTGTACTGTTTTATGTTGTTCTGGATTTTAACATGATATAAGCTGCCCAGAGAGCCTATGGCTAGGCAGCTATAAAATGAATGAATGAAAATAATGCATGAACCAAGTGAGTTCACAATAGGACATGCAGTTTGGGACCAGTCCTATTGGATGCCAGCTGGATGATCCTGTTAAACCATGAAGTGAAGCACTGTGCCAAGACTGAGAGCTCCTTTTACTTGCTGCCATAAGGGACAAACGAAGTGCAGTGAGGATTCTGTTGGGTGACAAGGAGCAGAGGAACCAGTTCTGTAAAGTCCACATGTGCAACCAGGCATACCATAGGACTGATACTGCTGCTGCCATTAAGTCAAGTGAATGAAAGAAAGGGCAAAGAAAGAAATGGAGAAAGTCAAAGGCAATGCTTGCTGTTATTCCTGCAGCAAAAACTCTTAAGCTTGGCAGACGAAAAATGCTTTTTCTACATAGAAACCTGTGTTGAGATGTTTGCCCTAAACCTAACTGCTGGTAGGGATATTGTGCTGCAAATGATACTAACAGCATTGCTTGTATGAAGGAGGCAGCTGGCTCAGTCCTGTGCAGCCTGCCTGTCTGTCTGTCTATTTATTTTGGACTGAATCTATGGCTTCATTGGTCTTGGCACTGAAAAGGCCTTGGCCATTGAATACTAAGTCCTCAATATGAAAGCATGGCTCTTGGGATAAACTCACAGACTTCGACTGGGCACGATGCTTCAAAGCAATTGAAATGTCAAGGTGTTTGGCATCACAATTAATGTGGTACCAAAATATGCTGATATGTTGCCTGCATAGGTACATGTCTTAACCCTGGAATGTTTGATACAAATGGCTATATCGCTTCCCAATACCATGGTGGAGGGTGAAATCAGGGAAGCTTCCCGATCCACCACTGCATCTGCCTCTGTCAATACTTATCACCTCATTATGGAAGACCTCAGGCATGCTGCTGTGACTCCCTGGACCTCATTTTCTCTGTAACTTCAATACAGAAGTACAATGCCTCTAGCTGTATAATGCCTCTAGACAACACCAGTGCTGAAAAGGACCCTGGAATGCAGTACATATTTTAGTCAATCATAAGAATGTGAAAATGAAATAAGAAAAGAATCGAAAAGAAGTAAAGGAAGCCTGACAGAAGAGAAGGAAGGAACAAAACCTTAGCGAAACAGTTTCAGATATTTATTTATTTATTTAGGATATTTAAATGCTGTCCTTTGCAAAAGCCTCAGGATGTCTTACAAAAAATACAAATATCACCAAACATAAATAAATTATCAACCCACTCTGGCTGTGGTTAAAATAAAATGGTAAAAATACAATATTAAAACTTATTAAAATGTTGATCAAATAAAAAGGTCTTAACCTGGTGCTGAAAAACATGTAATGATGGCGCCAGGCGGACCTCTCTGGGGAGCACATTCCATAGACGGGGCACCACTGCAGAGAAGGCCCTCCTCCGGGTACTCTGTCTCCTAATATCTCTCGCAGAGGGTTCCCGGAGGAGGGCATCTGATGCCGATCTCAGGGGGTGGGAGGGCAAATAGGGAAGAAGGCGTTCCTTTAGGTATCCAGGTCCCAAGTCATTTAGGGCTTTATAGGTAATAACCAGCACCTTGAATTGAGCCTGGACTTCGAAGGGAAGCAAGTGGAGCTGATAGAGGACTGGGGTTATATAAGAATAACGCCCAGACCCTGTCAGCATTCTGGCAGCTCTGTTTTGCACCATCTGAAGTATCCGGACTGTCTTCAAGGGCAGCCCCACGTAAAACACGTTGCAGAAATCCAACCGGGAAGTTACCAATGCGTGTGTCACTGTTGCTAGGCAATCTTCCTCCAGGTAGGGACGCAGCTGATGGATTAGCCGAAGCTGAAGGAAAGCGCTCCTCGCCACCGCAGTCACTTGAGTTTCCAAGGACAGCTCCAGGTCGAGAAGCACTCCCAAGCTGCGGACCCTGTCCAGGGCAAGGCCCAAGTCACCTACCCAGGAGCTCGAATCACCTACCAACAGAACCTCCATCTTATCTGGATTGAGTTTCAGTTTATTGGCCCTCATCCAGCCCATTACCTCGGCCAGGCACCAGTTCAGTACAGCCACTGCCTCACCTGGGTTAGTTGAAAAAGAGAGGTAGAGCTGGGTGTCATCAGTATGCTGATGGCTCCGCAGTCCAAACCTCCTGATGAACTCTCCCAGCGGTTTCATGTAGATATTAAATAGCAAGGGGGACAAAATGGACCCCTGCGGTACTCCATGGCAAAGTTGCCATGGTGGAGAACCAAAGTCCCCCAGCACCACCTTCTGGAATCGGCCGTCAAGGTAGGAGCTGAACCACTGTCAAGCAGTGCCTCCTACGCCCAGTCCCGCCAGCCTATCCAGGAGGATACCATGGTCGATGGTATCGAAAGCCGCTGAGAGGTCCAGGAGAACCAACAGGGACGCACTCCCTGTCTCTCTCCCTGCACAGGTCATCATACAGGGCAACCAAGGCAGATTCAGTACCGTACCTGGGTCTGAAGCCAGACTGAAATGGATCCAGATAATCAGTTTCATCCAAGAGTGCTTGGAGTTGTCCCGCCACCACCTGTTCCAACACCTTGCCCAAAAATGGGATGTTGGCCAACGGTCTATAATTGGCAGCCATCTCTGGATTCAGAGACACCTTCTTTAGGACAGGCCTGATTACCGCCTCCTTTAAAGGAGGGGGCACCCGGCCGTCCCTCAGAGAGGCGTTAATAACCTCCAGGATACAGGAACCAATCCTGTGTATGGCTTTGGTCAGCAGCCACGAAGGGCAACGGTTGAGTAAGCAGGTGGTAGGACGTACTTGTCCAAGCACCTTGTCCACATCATCAGGCCGCAGTAACTGAAATTCATCCATTAATACCTGACCAGATGGAGTCATTGGCATCTCCCCCAAATGATCTGAATCACTTGTGGAGTTCAACTTGTGACGAATCTGAGCAATTTTCTCCTTAAAGTGCTGGGCAAAGTCGTCACAGTGGGCCATTGATGGTGGTACAGGATCTTTCTTAGGGCCAGGGTATACCAGCCCACGTACCACTCAAAAAAGCTCCGCTGGACAGCACTGTGAGGAGGCAATGGAAGTGGAGAAGAATTTCTTCTTCGCCACCCTCACTGCCACAGCATAGGCTCGATAGTGAGCTCGTAGGCGTGTTTGGTCAGATTCATCCTGTGATTTCCTCCACCTACACTCTAGACGTCTCCCAACCCGCTTCATCGCCCATAATTCAGATGTACACCATGGGGATGGACGGGCTCTGCCTGGCAGGAGAAGATGCTTAGGGGCGATCGTGTCAATTGCTCTGGCCATTTCCCCATTCCACAGTTCGACCAGAGCATCAACAGGAGCGCCAGCTTTATCAACTGGAAAATCCCCCACAGCCTTCAGGAATCCATCCGGATCCATCCGGCTCCGAGGGCGGACCATGTTAATAGGGTCCACACCCTTACAGAGGGAAAGGCCACCCCCGAGCTCAAACCTTACAAGGAAGTGATCTGACCATGACAAGGGAGTCAGACACAAATTCCTCACCCTCATATCACCCTCTTCCTGCCCCATCGAGAAAACCAGGTCAAGCATGTGACCACGTTCATGGGTTGGGCCTATGACATGTTGAGACAGCCCTATGGCTGTCATGGAGGCCATGAAGTCCTGAGCTGCCCTGGTCAGAACAGTCTCGGCATGGAGATTGAAGTCCCCAAGGACCAACATCCTGGGGGTCTTCAACACCAGGTCCGAGACAATCTCTGTCAGCTCAGGCAGGGAGTCTGATGGACAGAAGGGTGCACGGTACACCAACAGAATCCCCTATCTGTCTCGATCGCCCAGCGCCAGGTATAAGCACTCTAGACCTGATCTCAAGAGAACAGGAAACCCTGTGAGGGAAATAGAAGCTTGGTAAATTAAAGAGACCCCTCCTCCCCTCCCCTCTGGACGTGGCTGGTACTGAACTAGATACCCAGGCGGGCACAGCTGAGAGAGGGCTACACTCCCACTCCCATCCAGGTCTCTGTAATGGAAGCCAGGTCAGCCCCTTCATCCACAATTAAGTAGTGGATGAGGGAAGTTTTATTATGGACCGGTACCTGGCATTGAGCAGTGGCACCATCAGGCCTGAGGGGCGGTTGATAAGCTTACCCGGAACCTTCTGGTTGGGGGAATAACCAGAAGGAGGAACAGGTGTCAACCATCTGTCCCTCCTTCTTCTATGCTGACATGTTAATCCCCCAACGCCATATCGACTGTTGCCCAACACCACCCCAATGGTGGCACCCACACGCTCCCCAGGCAACCCCATAAAAGCAGCAGCCAGATGTGGAGTCACTAAAAACAAAAACAAACTGTGTGAATGATTCTGCTTTGTAAGCCGCCCCGAGGATTTATTGGATTTATTTAAATAAATAAATAAATCCAATAAAATACAATTTAAAACCCTTCAACCCACCCCCTGCAAAACACACACACACAAAAGTTCCTGGCCCAGCCCAGCCCCACATGGCCCCAAGGGCTCCGAATGGTGACGATGCCCTTAGGCCATCGCCCTTCGGCTGCCGGCCCAAGGCGAGTTAAGCCCGCGGCCCCTCCCTGCGCCTCACCCCCAATCTGGCACAGCTGCCACCCACGCCGGGGGGGGGGGAGGGGGGCAAGGGCAGGGTCCGCGGAGAACTCGCTGGCAGAGATGGAGGGCCTGCAGGCCAGCAGCGTCCCGGGTCCCGTGGTGGCCACCATCTGTCCGTCGGAGCAGCGGCGGCGTCAGCGGGAGGGTCGGCACCTGCAGGGCCGGTCAGTCCCCGGCAGCGATGGTATTTCAATGAATAAAGAGAAGTTCCCAAATGAGGCTACTATAAAGGTGATCAAAAGAAAATTGAGGAAGGAAACTGATAGATGAGGTACAAATTAGCTCTGGGTGCGAGCTCTGGATGCGAGTAGTCACTCCATTCTTTGCTTTGAGATCAGGGGAATGGGGATGAGCGGCAGATTGAGCATTAGAAGCTGGGACTTCATGAGGGCCCACACTGGCCAACTGAAGGTCAGGCTGGGGAAAGTCTCCTGGGAGAGGGTACTGGAAGGCAATGGCGTTCAGGAGGGCTGGATGGCACTAAAAGGGGAGGTCTTGGAGGAGTAAGCCTTGACAATACCGCTAGTTAGCAAGGTGGGGAGGCAAAGGAGAGTGCCGCCAAGGATGAGAAGATTAGTGGTAAGAGGCATTAGGCATAAGAGGAACCTCTGTAGGAAATGGGCACTGGGGCAAGTAGACAAAAGGGTATACTGGGAGGAGGAAACTTGTTGCAAAAGGATTCTTCACAATGCTAAGGCTGGTTATGAGCTGAGATGTGCAAAGAATATCAGGAACAACAAAAAGGGCCTCTATCAACATGTATATAGCAAGAGGAAGGTGAGACAGGCAGTGGGACTGCTTACTAAAAAGGAAGAAAATTTGGTGACTTTTGTGAGGGAACAGGCACAGATGTTAAATGACTATTTTGCCTCTGCATTCTCCCCAAAGCAGGATGGGGAACATCAGCATGGGGGACTGGATGAGGTTGGGGATTTAGGGGCACAGATTAGAGTCATCCCCTAGAACTTGAGGAACTCCTCAGGTCATTGGAGGTTACAAAAGCACCAGGCTCTGACAGGTTACATTTGAGGGTACTTAGGTAGTTGGCGGGGATACCCTCATGCCCACTGGCCTCCATTTTTGAGGCCTTATGGAGAACAGGTGAGGTTCCAGAGGACTGGATGGTGGCGTCAGTGGTTAAAATCTTCAAAAAGGGTAGTAGAGGGGACATGAGGAATTACTGGCCAGTTAGCCTTATGTCCATTCTAGAAAAGACAAAGGCTCATAATAGAGATATACCTAGTAACTCAAGACAGGGAAAGGTGGTTGGTGGCCATGCAACACAGCTTCCACATAAACAGGTCCTGCCAGACAAACCTTGTGGAATTTTGACAAAGTTTTGAGGTGGCTAGACATAGAGGACGCAGTGGATGTGGTTTACCCAGATTTCAGCAAGGCCTTTGACAAAGTGCTGCATGATATCCTGGTTGAGAAATTGAGGAGTTTTGGGATAGACTGATGCAATGACAAATGGATTGGGGCATGGCTGATGGGCCGAAAGCAGAGGGTGACTATTAGTGGGGAATCATTGGGATGTCAGCCAGTGATGAGCAGGGTACCCCAGGAAGAGGGGGTGACAAATCTGTTGATCAAATTCACAGATGATACTAAAAATGGGGGCAGTGGCCACAACTGAGGAGCAGGTACGCCAGATCCAAAAGGATCTGGATAGACTATGAAAGTGGACTAAGGACAATGGGATGGTGTTCTATGCAGATAAGTGAAAAATCTTGCACTTGGGGCATAGGAAGGGGTGTCATAAGTACAGGTTAGGGAACAAGTGGCTGGAGAACTGCACTTGTGAAAAGCAACTTGGGGTTCTGTTCAACTGCAGGCTAAACATGAGTCAGCAGTGTGACGTGGAGGTGGATGCATAACTGGTAGTGTGGCTTCTAGATCAAGAGAGGTATTACTGCCCCTCTATAGGACTCTGGGGCGCCTGCAGCTGGAGTATTGTGTTCAGTTCTGGGCTCCACATTACAGGAAAGATATAGCCAGGAAGGATATAGCTAGTGCAGCATAGGGCCACAAGGATGGTGGCCAGATTGCAGGGAAAGCCATTTGAGCAAGACTGAGGGAAATGGGTCTTTTCAACCTGAAGAGGAGACTCTGAGGGGATCTGTTGGTGACACATAGGTACGTGAGGGGTGTCAGGCAGAGGTAGGTAGAGACCTGTTTTCCCTTGCAGAGGAGGGCAGGACGCATTCCAGTGGAGCAAAGCTCAGGGAACCAAGGTTCAATCTGGATGCCAGGAAGCACTTCCTGACAGTTAGGACTCCAAGGGTGTGGAATGGGCTTCCACAGGAGGTGGCTGAAGCCCCATTGGTGAGGGTGTTTAAGGACAGACTGGACATGCACATGGCAGGCATGTCATGAGCAGAGCCAGCTGGGGGTCAGACTAGATGGCCCCGGAGACCCCTTCTGAGTCGCTCTGTTTCTATGTTTCTATGAAATAACCAAGAACTCACTGTGATGTGTGCACTGGGACACCGAGGAAGCTTCTCATCAAAATTTCTCAGCTAGAGAAGTTTTCCTGAATGGGGCTCCATGCAAGTGCAAAAGCTGTGAGATCTGCAGAGACCACTTTAAAAAAAGGTAGATTTCCCAGTATTTAGGACTTCAGCATCCAAGATTCCTGACCACTGACCATGCTGGCAGGGACTTATAGGAGTTGAAGTCCAAACCATCTGGAAATCGACTTTCTGCTCATCCCTGCCTAAGGCACTCTTTCTGTGTGCTATATCCCTATATCACTCTTGTTTACACTATGTATTCTGGTCATAGTAAAAGCAGAATATTACCTGTGCAATGATATCTCCATTCTCAGCATGAACTTGAGCTATAGCACCAAGATCTCCCAAGAAACTAAATATTTCATACAGCTGAAAAAGAGAATGTGACAGGAATTTGAACATTAGAAGGCAGGTGCTGTATGCGCTTGCATTTGAGAATAAGATTTCATAGAGCTCAGAATCATCTGTCAAAAGTGAAAGCTTCCAGGACTGGGTATGGGATGCATGAAAATTTCCTTTGGAACAACTTTGAGTAATGTTTGCACTGGAACTTGATCTGGAACTTGCACATAACATGGATTGATGTTGAAAAATCTGCCAGCCAGGTACCTCTTAAAAGTTCATGAAAACACTTTTAAGAAAATCTTTTCTATGTTTTTTCCCAGGGGCAAACTCTCAGAAGTTGCTTTACCTAGCATTACAGAAGCCATGAAAACATTTGTTCGCCATTCAGTATGGGTATAAGCTAGATTGCAAAACCGCAAGGCCCACATCTGTTAATGCTCCTATGTTATTTATCTGTAAGGTATTTTTTTGTCCTGCTTTCCTGTCCCACATGGAGCCTAAAAAGCGGCTCACAATCAAACTGAAACAGGATGATAATTCATATTAATTAGCAATACTGGACATTCAACCCTACAAATAGGAAAAAGGTTAACGCTCTATGAACATAGTAGAAGGAAATAGCATAGTTCTTACCTCTGTATTTGACATCTGGTACAAATCCTTATAGGCCATATAGACCATGAAAGAATTCACCCCTAAAGTATAAAGAAAGAAACTGGCAAATAAAACTGTATTCCTTTGTTGTCTCATTTTAAAATAGATGCATCCACAACTCATAAGAGAAATTACAGACTTATAGCAGAATGGGAATGTTTGACAAGAACCAGCAGTAAAGGAGCACCTTCTGTTTATTGTCATGTGGGCTGATTCTCTGGAAGACCATCGTTACCTAGCCAAAGCTCTACAGCAGGGGTGCACAGACTCAAGTCCAAAAGCCAAATCTGTCCCTCCTGGGATCCCACTCCAGACTTCTGGTGTTTCCCATACAGCCCCAGTCAGCTTTCCTGACCAGTAATTATTTCATTTTGTGCAGCATTTTCCCCATTTTGCAAGAGTGAAATGAATGTCCCATGGCTTGATTGCAGGTGATATGAGTTTTAAGCTAAAGTATGCTATTATTTTTGTATATTTAGCTTTTTTGTCCTGCCCTGTTTGTCTTTGACCTCATTCATCAGTGAAATGCAGCCCTTGGGGGCTTCTCCAAAACGGAAGTCAGTCCTTGGGTTGAAAAATGTTCAGCACTCCTGCTCTACAGGATCTTAAAAGAAGTCAAATGATTAAGACACTGGTCATACCTTGGAAATATCCCTGGGTTAGGACTGTCGCTGCCTTGTTCCACTCTATTAAATGCTTCATAACACTACAAAAGTTTTTCCCATATAATATTCAAATGCTATGATTAAAAGGGTCAATCAGACAAATATCAAATATACAGACCGTGTTCACAGATCACAATAAACCATAATTTAGAATTATGTGCAGAAGCAGAAATGAGACTTCTCAAAAGTACCAGGCTCACATGCTCTTCCTCCCACAACATGACCCAAAAGAAGAAAACCCCAGGCTTCAGTTTTGCCTTTTCAAATTCCTGGTTTGACACAATATCCAAACCAGGAAATATGGCTCAAAATACATCCTGATTTCCTAAACAATTCACAAATGGAATCTACATCTACACTGGTTTATTTAGCAACTGACCAGAGTTTATTTAGAGTTTATTTATTTGGTTTGCACATAAGGATAAAGCAGGAATCTGCTATGAGCAATGCAGTTCTGTTTTCTTAACCCTTCTGCTTTGCATGACAGAAGGGGAGGAAGAGGAGTGGAGCACTTCACACAAGTACATTCCTGTTGTTGCATGTCACTATGTGTGAACCCACCCAAGGTCAATACTTAGTCAATGGCGTGTTGTGGGTTATCAGAGTGTTGTTCTCGTCTCAAACAAACCATGCTGCCTGGATTTGAAAAATACCACAAACTGCAGCCAGGTAGATGATTAGGCATATCAAGCTAGATATGTATTGCAGCTTAAGGCTATACGATGCACTACTGCTTTAAGTTGCACTGATTGTGCAAACCAGGTCACTAACAAACCTTTTTCTTTGATGAGTGTCTGCACTTCCTGTTTGACACTATCATTCCACTGGGTGATGTCCACATGTAGGGAGTAGTCACAGCAAGCCTTCCCATCACCCCATTCTCGCCACTTCTCATAGGCTTCTATCAGGCTGGAATCTGGCTCTGGCACAACATGATCAACTGCGACAAAGAGCACCAAGTTAAATGAGAGAATTAAGATCTTATTTTCCCTCCTGCCTGGAGATGATTTCCTACTCGGCAACTATGTGCTCAGCATCTAAACACTGCTGTACTCCTAGAGTCCAACTCCACTGATCCTTCTATATGTACAAATCATTACTTATTCTTGACTGCTTTTTCTAGTCTCCTGTCTCTTCTACAGTATGCAGTGACTGGATACTTTAGTCCGGCTCAAAGTAAATGGCACAAAGATTACAGGAACCAGCTAACTAAGCACTTAGCCTCAGTCAGACTTACTTTGGGCACTGCTTTCATTTCTTCTCACTGATACCAGAGTGTAGGACACAGAATAATCAACCTAAGTTGTAACAATCCAGATTCAGGCTAGATATCAAGTTTTCTCACTACAACAAGCAATATAACAGTGGGATCAGTTATCCAGTTAGGTTGGGGGTCTTCCACACTACAGACATTCACAAAAAAAACTGGACAATCATCTGAGTGGGATGATACGACTTGGTGTCCTGCAGCAGCAAGGGGATGGACCTGATAGCCCTCTTGGCCCTCTCTGCTTCTGTTATTCTATGATTCTGTGTGAAAAACAGATTTCGCATTATTTCAACACACATCTTTGTGATGGTGCACACTGTGCAAAACAAATGGAAAGAAGCACAGTGAATCTTTTTAACAGGATAGCTGATGGCAAAAAATTAGAGATGTGAGAGTAGTAATGACAGGGTTAGACACATTCTAGAACCATGAAAAACAGGAATTTTCAAGTAAGCAGGGTTTACTATTTATGACAGTTTCTAGATAGCAAGCAAACCAAGACAGTATCTCACTGCCTGTAATTTCTCAGACATTTCTAGAGTGCATTTACCAGAAGGAGGATGTAAGATCTAAGGCACTGAACTTTCAATTAGCAGCTTCTGGCATTGTACCAGGTGCTTTTATAGCAGGTTCCTACCGAGAAGTGAGCTGGAAGTAGGTTCAAACATATTAATCCCTCACTACCATCCATTAAAAAATGAGTATCTTCCTAAGATGCAGCCTAATGCACCTTTTTATTGCCCCTGATGTAATACTCAATTTCTACTGCAGTCTTTTCATATAACAGTCACTGCAGTAGAGACTGCAGTTCTTCTGACTGATAAAGGAAAAGGAGGAACAGGAAGAAAACTGAATCTATTAGTCAACTACATTCCCAACTTGCAACTCATGAGTCAATAAGCCCAAAACTGTGATCCAGTGAATCAGTGCATGTTTGTGAAAGGATCTTTCAAGCTAGGAACCAAAAATTCTACTCCCATTTTAGTTTGGAGGTAATTGTGTTCCTCTTCTGAAACAAGTTTGGGCATGGCACCCTATTTTTAAAATCACAGTTGTATGCACTTTTGCTGATTGTTAAATTGTCTAGGCCTTTGAGCATAGGTCAAAATTAATGCATTGATATAAAATATATATGGAGCCCGATAAGCCTTTTCTCAAAGATTCCAAGCATGCATAAACTCCAACTTTCCAGCAGAAAAATCAAATAAAAAAAACCAAAAGTCCATCCTGTTTTATCAATAAACTAAGCCAAGGTTATATATAACCTTTTGCACTTTGGTATCCCTGCTACCCAAAAGCCTGAGCTTTTCATTGCAGTTCTAACACAAACTTCATCTAGTTTGGTCTTGTAATGACAACTATTTGCCACAGCTACAAACTTTCTATTGTCAAATCATTTCCATGTAGAAAAACAAACAACAGTTGGCAAATTTTATCTCATGTGATCTGCTTACATGCAGTTTTCGTGTCTTTTTAGTAAGATAAATGGGCCACTATGAACTAATGCAGGAAGTCTAAAACTCCTGAAGAGCCTTCTAAACATGAATTTAGAGGATTCTATGAAACCTGAGCGTGCTCCACAAAAAGACACACAAGGAACTTCTATCTACAGAATGTTCATCCTGATCTAATCAGCACAACTGTATCTATTATACGTAGCCTGTTATATTTAACAAGTTCTGCAATGTTAGATAATTAAAGATAATATTACAATATGACAAACTGCAACTGGAGTCACGAAGAAAAGTCCGCCTTCCACTTACTGATCATGGTGGTTCCACCTGCCAGAGCTGCTTTTGTCCCTTGGAAGAAGTCGTCCACTGCTGTCATTCCCTTGTATGGCATCTGCAAGTGAGTGTGCACATCAATTCCTCCAGGGATAACCATCCTCCCATTGGCTTCTATGGTCTTCACTCCTCCAGGGACTATCAAGTTGTCTCCTATCTGCCTGATTAAACAGTAACAAAATAGTCAGATAAAAGCATTTACAATAATAAATGCCAAGAGAAAATTACTCCATGATAGACAATCCTTTCATCCACTATAAATGCTCAGAGTAACAGTACTGTTTTCTTATGTATTTGTTGCTCGCTATTATGTGTACTATTCAGGTTACTCTAATGGACTGGTAGGTTATGTAGAATTTCTTCTTCAAGCAGTGAGGTTTTGAGAAGGGAGGCAAAGTGGACTTTACCAAATGTAAGATATATTTATTTAGCAGTTCCTCATCAAAATATGATGTATTTAGAAACCAAATATCTGAACTCAGTATGTAAACTGTAGCTGTCCCCACCTTCAGTGTTCAATATTCAGCAGCTTTCTGCCTCTGAACATGAAGGTTTCATTTAATTTTGCTGTTGTGGCTAGCAGCTGTTCACAGACCCTTCTTTCATGAATTTGCATAATCCCTCTTTGTAACACTTGTAACACATTCTTTTTCAAAGGAGTTTTATATTCCTATTTTATTCCTTCAATCCAGAGAGACAGAGACAGAGAGCGAGAGAAAGAATGGTTGGCCAGTAAGTTTCAGAGCTGTAGATACACTTGAATCGCAACTTCTTTTTCCAAGTATGGAACTTTACTGCATCAGTTTTAAACCTCTAGTCCTCAACAAAACACTTATGGTAGTGATGGCCAAAATTAAATGTGTGTGAAGAAGCATTTGCTTTGATCTGTTCTGAATATACCACAACATTAACTTAATTGAGTTGACTCAGATTTAATTCTAGTAGTATAAAGAACAACTGCAATCTCCCTTTAGTCACACCATTCAAGACTTAAGGTCTAGCAAGCTCTCCTTAACAATCTTCTTCGTAATCTAAACATAACTAGGTGTCTCTGTAATAAACACAGATGCAATAACTGCAAAAAGAATGGTGTTTATTATCAGAAAGTACATTAATTTTAATAGTTGTACATTATTCTACCCTGAAAGCCCTACATGTTAATTTGGCCTTTATATCAGAATTTTTGGAACTGAGGCCAGCACCACCCGGCCGTTTGACAAGAATGGTCCATTGCTGCTCTTGCCAAGTGGCTAACCGAAGAGTGCCACTGTCAACTGTCATTTGGCACACCTGTCACAGGTATCCCTGCTCCTCCTGTTGCGTGCCCTAACGAACGTCTTAGGGGCAGGGGCAGGCGATCAGCCGGTCAGTGGTGGGGAAGGAGCAGTGTTGCTCGATTAATTTCCCCATTGCCACTTCTACATGAGCAGGAGTGGGGAGAATCTGCTGAGCAGTGATGCATGGTTGGGGGCCGTGCACAGTACATCCCCCTGTGCTGCCCCTCTTGAGTGAGCAGCAGGGTGGTGGGTGCCCAGAGGACAGTGCCTCAGGCTGCTCCTCATGAGTCCGTGGCAGAAGCAGCAGGTGAGAAGCACCTTGGAAAGGAGCAGCACCACTCCACTGACTCCCCTCTTCTCCCTGGCCACGTGGCAGAGGAAAGAACCTCAACCACAAACAAACCCCTGGCAAGGGCGAAAGCAGCTGGTTGGTGGTGTCTGGTTTGAGGCTGCATGCCACAGAGGCTTTCCTCACTGGGGGGTACCAGGCTGGGAATGCCTCCTTAGCAAAGGGGAGACCAGCACTACCTCGTCATCATTGTCAATGCCCAGCTGCTTCTCACTCCAGCTACTATCTTGTTCATGCATGTGATATACTTTGCTCTGGTGCGTGCCAAGGGGCAGATGGGGCATGAACTGAGTGACACTGCTCCTTTTTACAGAGCTGCCGAGCTGATTTCCCTTTTGCCTCAGTGTCCTCCTGCTAAAGCTTGAATTCACCCATGAAAAACCTCTGACTGAGTGGTAGGAGAGCATTTAGCTTTTGCTTCCTTACACTGCTCTGATTCAAAGGCTCTCCAGAGTCAGAGGAGACCAAGGTTCAATAAGGACAGCTGAATTGGGCAGGGTGGACCTGAAGTGAATACAGAAAAGAGCCACTGACCCCAAGGTGCCCCTCAGTATCATGAGTAATGGTATCACTGGTTCTACCACAGTAGAACTGAGGGTACCAAAATGCCCAATGTTGACAACAGTACAGATATTGGCGAGGTGGCCAGATGCAGGTCATGAGTTGAAAAAGACATCAGTGCAGCATAATTACAACTGCAAAGTAGTGAAGGCTGATTTTTGCTATTTCTTTTTCCACAATAGAGCCCAAAGCAGGACTACTTGGTAAAACCCTGGCAATGTTAGCAGGAGTCTGTGACTTTCTTCCAGGTTTAAGAGAAACTTCCAATGGCTCTTGGATAGAGTTTGCTTATGCATCTTGGCAGTTTCAAAAAAAGATGGGGGGTTAGGGGCACCCAGAGGCACAAGAAACCCGCAATGACACACACACAAAAGTAACAGACTAAACTATATGGCATTAAAAAGAGAATGGGAAATAACACAGAAGAAAATAAAGAATGGTGAAGATACTCAGACCTTGGTGAGAAATACATTTCTAGAGTAAAAAATACTCCCGGACAATGCTACAGCTGCAGTCAAAACAGGAACTGCATTCTTTCAGCACGTACGCTGGGGAGGGTGGAATGGTGCCAAAAGCTCAGTTCTAGATCATGCTGGAAAAGGATCTACATAAACGCAGATCCCGTAAGTGACAGTCAGAAGGATCAAGAAAAAGATGTTTCTTCTTCCTTTGCGTATTTAAGAGTTGTGTTTCAGCCCAGACAACACCAGACAATATTTACAATTAAAACTTCAGAACAATTTTTAAACTTTAAAAAATCACAAGCAGAACTGAAACCAGGAGAAAATCTTCAAAACAGAGTATAGAGCTTGTAAAAATCCATGTGGAAGAAAGACATTTCTAACAAAGAAATCAATCTATTTTAGGAAGGGAGCTACACAGATGGGGCACTGCCACTGAGAAGGCCCTGTCCTGTGCTCCCAGTGACCTAGCCATTTCTTAGTGGTACGTCATACAGAAAAGCCTCTGAAGACAGGTTCATATTGGAGAAGGCAGCCCTTTAGATATCCTGGTCCCAATATGTGTATGTAAGCACCAACATCTTCCATTTATGCCTGGAAACAAATCTGTAGCCAGTGCAGTTGATATAGGACCAGTGTAATATTGAAAACAAAGTGGTTTCCAAATACTCTTCAAGTGTAGCCCCATCCATAGCACATTGCAGTAATCTAAATCAGAGGTACCTCATGAATTGCTATGAGCAGATCTGCCTTCTCTAGGAAGGGGTGCTTTAGGTCCACAAATCAAAGCTTGGCAAAGGTGGTCTATAACCTCAAGCTATGCACATGGTCCTTCAGAATGAGTGACACCCCACTCAGATCAGGTCATAACCCAATCTTGGACTGGCTTTGTTAACCAATCATTTATGGACACTTACCACCCAAGTTTTACAAATCAGGATGGACAAGGGTCTGACAAGCAAGAAACTTGTCTGCTTCAGGTTAGACAAGATGAAATTCATCCATCAGAACAGGACAAATGAGTTGCCTCCAATCACCACCCAAGAGCTTGCTCTCAAAGTGGAGTCTAAGTATGAATAAGGACAATTTTATTAGCAAAGTAGGTTTCTGAAAACTCTCTCTTTGGGGCCCAGAGCATAACAGATTCTTTTAAAACTGTGCTGAGATAAAGGTGACAAGAAAAAATGGCTTCTTTGCTGCCACCAAGACCATGAAGTAGGTCTTACAAATGGTATGTGGTCAGATTGCCCATGTGTGGTCAGATTCATTCCAAATTTTCTTCTGTCAACAATCTACCCATCTATCTGAGTATTTCAAAGACTGAACCTCATCAGAAAACCAAAGAACTTGAGTGCAGCACAAATGCAGAGGGCATTTAGAAATAATTTTAACTGCCTGGGTTATCTCTCCATTCTAGATGCCAACTACACTTCAGCAGGGTCACCAACTGAAGGAATCCCTACAAATCTAAATTTTAGTAATATCAAGGGTAGACTTTTATAACATGTTTGATAAGAGGCTGCCTTTGAAAAGTACTCCTACACTTCAAATAGTATAAAATACTGCAGCTAGAGCTAAATACTGCAAAATACCCTAATCCATTGGTGAGTCTGCTTCAAAGTATTGGTTGTTAATGTTTGGGATAAGAATATGCAAAGGATCGTGTGTTTCTGCAAGTTACTGTGCACACACTCACCCTCAGCAAAGCCTTGTTCTGTGTCCCAGCACAAGAAGTACTTCCTGTTCTGCAGTATGACAGTATGCCTTGGAGATCAGGGGCATGTGCCCACTGCCAGAGCCTTGCATCCTACACTGACTTTTACTCATGCTCTGAACAAATGGAACATTCCCTTGTTTTAGATACTACTAAGTTGCCTTGTTGTCACTTTAAAAAAATCCAGCAGAAGTGCTTGGATATTTGCATTTATACTTTCAGAGCAAAAAAGTTGAGTTCCTTCTCTATAAAATATTCCACAATTTAAACCCCACTGCTGTGGGATTTAATCCTAATTGCATGTATTTCCACAGCTGAACAGTTTTAGCCTTTAACCACCAGAGTCATTACTGTGACTCCATAAACACAACCAGAAGCCAAATAAAACACCAGGCATCACAGCTTTTGCCTAAAGTCCCTCAGGATTTTAAAGACACAGCTTCTTTAAAGCAATCATTTACCATCTTTAGCTAGCATGATGAAACAGTTGCCGTGGTACAGAGAGATCTAGCTTCTAGTTCTTACTCAAACATGAAGATTCTTGGGTGATTCTGGACTAGTCACTGACTCAGCCTAGCCCACCTTGTAGGGTTGTTGTGAGGGAGTGGATCATGTAAGCTGCTTTGGTTTTCTTGGAGGAATAGGGGTGGAATATAATAATATATAACAATAAATAATAAATAATGTATATATTTATATCTAGTCTCTCCTTTCAAGGAACTTAAGGTGGCTTACACAGTTCTCCTCCTTTCAATCTTATCCTCGCAGCAACAACCCTGTGAAGATTATGAGTGGTGCAAAGAATGCAGTGAGCTCCAGGGATGAGTGGTGATTGAAACCCAGATCGTCTGAGCTGCAGTCCCATGCTCTCAGTCACTACACCACACTGGCTCTCATTATTGTAATAGCATAAATAAAAGTAGCAGTCATTTTATGATGCAACAGGAAAGCCAGAAACCAAATAAAAGTTCTCTTCAGCAAAGGCTATTTTGGGAATATGACAGCTTAAATGCACAGATATAGAAGTACATGCCATGAAAGTAGTGAACTTCCATTCTGAGGAAGCTCTCAGTGGCCACATACCAGTGGTTGGCAAGGCCAAAGGCTCCTGTGCCTCAAGTCTTCCACTCCTGTCATAGACTATTTACAATTAACATGATGAACACCCAACATAAACCAGCAAAAAAGAATTCTTGCAATCCCATTTCTCTCTTCAAGGTGAGATATATGTAGATTATTAACAAAACAGGCTACATCAAATGTGTACTTACTTTATAAGACCATCTTCCATGTAAATGTCAGCATAGAATGACTGGTCATCATTGACTATTCTCCCCCCTTTAATAAGAAGACGATCACTCTGTGAAAGAAAATGAAGAATCTTCACTGATAGAAGTTACACGCATGTGTGTGTGTGTGTGTGTGTGTGTGTGTTGCAGTATAATGAAAGGAGTAAACAGAGCCATCACATTGAGGTGAGAAAAATGAAGCTGAAATTTTATACAATTTCAATTTTTCAAAGAATGCAGGTACTAAGAGAGCAGGAAATTTCAATTGTAGGGCCCAACCCAAACTGAAAGGACACATGATATGAAGCATGGGATAAAAAAGTGCATGACTGTCAACCTTAACCATTCCCTCAGGTATCCCAACCATCAGACCCTTTTTGCTAGCAAACTGCCTGGCAGCTTCAATAAAGACAGAGAAACTCCAAGTCTGAGAAGTAGGAATTAATTCTTTACTGTTTGCACATGATATGGCTGGGCAATTTGTGGACCTCTGACCTACAACTCCTATCAGCTGAAGCCAGCATAGCTACTGGTGAGGGTTCACAGGAGTTGTGGCCTTCCAGATGTTTTGACCTACCAGTTTCCCATTCCAGAATAGAGCAGTATTTCTGTTGAGTAATGCTGAAAGTTCTTGTGTAGCAGCATTCAATTTGAAAAATATTGTATTTACACTTATGTCAATGCTTCATATTAAAACCTGTTCCAGCTTCAGAGAAGCTACAATGGAAGGGACCACATAATTAATCTTAATTAAGGAAGGATGCATCAGCTTCCCACAGACCACTGGTCTTTTATCAGTGGGTCAAGACTCAATACTGGGTCACAGCACGAGCTAAGATAAGTCATAACAGCAGCACGATAGCAAAACATAAATGTGCTCCCAAATACACATGAGGTCTAAAGATGATTCTCCGATCTGAAATGGCTCAAGACTAATGCCACACAACAATATAAACAACAGGATGGCGTTCAATGTGGATAAGTGCAATGTCTTGCACTTGGGGCATAGGAACAGCTGTCATAAGTACAGGTTAGGTGATAAGTGGCTGGAGAGTAGCACTTGTGAAAGGGACCCCGGGGTGCTGGCTGACTGCAGGCTAAACATGAGTCAGCAGTGTGATGCGGTGGTCAAGAGGGCGAACGCCACCCTTGGTTGCAGAGCCAGAAGTGTGGCTTCTAGATCAAGAGAGGTATTACTACCACTCTACACGACTCTAATGCGCCCGCAACTAGAGTACTGTGTTCAGTTTTGGGCCCCTCATTACAGAAAGAATATAGCCAGGTTGCAGTCAGTGCAGCGTAGGGCCACAAGGTTGGTGGCCGGTTTGCAGGGGATGGGGCATGAGGCGAGACTGAGGGAACTCGGTCTCTTCAGCCTGGAGAAGAGGACACTCAGAGAGGATATGTTGGCAACATACAGATATGTGAGGGGATGTCACATGGAGATGGGTAGAGACCTGTTCTCCCTTGCAGAGGAAGGCAGAACGTGCTCCAACGGAGCAAAGCTCAGGGAGCCAAGGTTTCGTTTGGATGACAGGAAGCACTTCCTGACAGTCAGGACCCCGAGGGTGTGGAATGGGCTTCCACGAGAGGTCGTTGAGGCCCCATCGGTGCGGGTGTTCAAGGATAGGCTGGACGTCCACATGGTGGGCATGTCGTGAGCAGAGCCGGCTGGTGCCGGAGGTCAGACTAGATGGCCCGGGAGACCCATACTGACTCGCTCTGTTTTCTATGTTTTCTATAATCTAGAGCAATAAGCAATGTGCAGCTAACAGGTACCTGAAAAAACAATACCTACAGGGCAAATTGCTCCCAAGGATTCCAGACAGTATTGATTGATCCTTGGGTATCAAACTATGGCAGTTTTCCATCAGGACAAAGTTCGTACGTATTTTATAGAAACAGCATACTACTTTATCAGTCTAAGCTGAAATTAAACAGTAAACTGTTAACTGTAAAGCAACTTCAAACACTTGCATTACAACTTGGCTCAAACTACTCAGTCTAATACCAAAGACAAACTCAGCTTTCCCATCAATAATTTAACAATTTATTGATTATTTTATTATCACTCTTTCTGTGCACAGGTTTCCCTCTTCAGGACAACTGATAAACACACACACAACATAAAGTAAAGGGGTTGCACTCCCTCTTAGGGACAAGGTCCGCAGCTTGGGAGTGCCCCTCAACCCAGAGCTTTCACTGGAAGTTCAGGTGACAGCGGTGGCGAGGAGCGCTTTCTTTCAGCTTCGGCTGATCCATCAGCTGCGCCCCTACCTGGAGAACGACTGCCTGGCGACAGTGACACACGCGTTGGTGACTTCCCGACTTGACTTCTGTAATGCACTCTACGTGGGGCTGCCCTTGAAGATGGTCCAGATACTTCAATTGGTTCAAAATAGAGCTGCCAGGCTGCTGACGGGGACTGGGCATTATGTTCACATGACTCCAGTCCTCTGTCAGCTTCACTGGCTTCCCATTGAAGTCCAGGCCCAATTCAAGGTGTTGGTGATGACCTCTAAAGCCCTTAATGGCTTGGGTCCTGGTTACCTGAAGAAGCACTTATGTCCATATATGCCCACCCGCCCTTCTCCGGGGACCCTCCGTGAAGGAAATTAGGAGGGCAAGTACTCGGAGGAGGGCTTTCTCTGCGGTGGCGCCCAATCTATGGAATGCGCTCCTCAGAGAGGTCCGCCTGGCACTGTCGTTATTTGTTTTTTGGCGCCAGGCGAAGACCTTTTTATTCAAATGTTATTTTAATATTATTTATTTATTTATTTTATTCTTTGGCCAGGCAACTTAATTTATATTGTTAATTTATATTGTTTTATTGGATTCTATTTATTTATGGTTGTGAGCCGCTCCGAGGCTTCGGTGAATGGGGCGGCATAGAAGTCTCCAAAATAAAATAAAATAAAATAAAATAAAATAAAAAATAATAGTCACTACCGTTCAAATCAAGTGTATTTTCAGTCACACCAGGAGCTACAATTCTGACTGTTCATAGACTGCAATTTAATACCCACTTACCTGGTAAGTTCTATTGAACTCCAGGACTTACTTCTGAGTACACATGCAGAGTATTATGCTTGCAAGCCTACAAGTATGTAAATCTGCAGAATACATTTAGTATATTTCTGAGCAATATTAAGGTTTTTTCAGATAAGACATGTTGCTTACCTATACCTGTTGATCTTCAAGTGGTCATCTCTCTATTCAAACTTGTGGGCTCTGTGTCTGCATGGAACTTGTCACCAGGAAGATTCAATATCTAAAAGTGTTTTGGTGGGACTCCCTCCCCCACCCCAGCATCCATATAAAACAGAGGTGCTCCAAACCATTTCCCTCAGCTCCAAACAAGACTGCCTGGTGGACTCAGGACCAAGGGAGTATCAGTAGTACCAACTGTACTTTCAGTGTGGTACAGTAAAGGGAAAAGGACAGGCAAACACATAAGGACAGAGTGCTCCATTGCTCATGACATCTGGTGGCATAGATGGGCGGGTTATGTGAATGCCCAGATGACCATCTGAAGAACAACAGTTACAGGTAAGCAATCTGTCTTTCTTCTTTGTGGCCTCCGTGTATCACACCCACACCCACACGGGTGATTAGCAAACTGACCTATTCCTGGATGGTGAGTAGGCTTGTCATTGGAGTATCAGCGAGAGGACTGATCACCTGAACATGTGATCAGCCCTGATTTGAACATCAAGGTGGTACTGCTTAGCAAAAGAGCAAAATGGTGTTGATTATGTCCCACCTTGCACAGGTCTGGTAATGGGATACCTGCATGCAATGCTGTCAAAGTCACTACTGCTCGAATCAAGTGTGCTTTCAGCTGCACCAGGAGTTGCAGTTCTGACAGTCCGTGAACCAATGAAACTGTCCACTGAAAGTCTTTCACTGAAAGGCTGTCCCTTTGCATTGCTTTCTTAGTGAACAAAAAGTATGGAAATCTGAAGAAAAGATTCTGTTCTGGAGTGTTAGACCACCAGTGCTCTACACATGTCCAAGGTATGCAATGTAGACTCCACTGAGCCGGATGTTGATGGGAAAAAAGCAACCAAAGCAATGTCCCGGTAAGAATGAAAAAAATGATACCACCTTTGGGAAGAAAAAAAGGATCTAGATACAACACCACTTTGTCCTGATGAAAGACAGGCATGAAGTATCTATCCGTAGAACACAGAGTTCACTGGAGTATCAGGCAGATCTAAATGTCACTGGGAATGCCACCTTCCATGACAAAAGATGAGATGGATTGTTGCAAGGGGTTCAAATGATTTCCTCATTAGAGCTTGCAAAATCACAGACAAGCTCCAAGACAGCATCAGCAATCGAGTAGGTGGGAGAGTGTTCCTTAGTCCCTTTAAGAAGTGCCTACTCATCGGACGTGAAAAAGCTGATGAGCCTTGAATTTCTTGGAAAAAGAAAATGGTTGCTAGGTGAATTCTCACAGACAATGCCTTTAATCCACACTGAAGCAGGATGACCAGGTAGAGGAAGAGCTCTTGGGATTGAAGCCTTTGGTGCTGGCAAAGGTAAAGCTTTCCACTTCACCACAGACGATTTCCTGTTCTCTGCTTTTGAGGCTACCTCTAGAATGAAATTCAATTGTACATGAAGAAGTGTGTGCACCCTAGGGATGGAAACTCCATGCTGTTAAGATGGAGGGTGTTGACAACCAGGTGAAGGATCCTCTCCTGATCCCGAGATCAGGTCTGATATCAGCATAAGCCAGATGTAGTTTCTCTTGGACATATTCAGTAGCCTGGTAAACCAAGGATGCCTTGGCCACCAGGCGATCCAAGGCATCCCACGGAACATACACATTTACTCGCAATTATCAGAGGAAATGCAGGAAAAAAGTAAAACAGAGTCTAGATCCAGCATAGCAGGAATGCATCTCCCAGAGCGCTCCTGCCCTCAGTCCTCCCACTCTCTCCTGTCCTGAAGATTTTGTGCAGAGTCTCTGAGTCCATCTGCCACTTGAAGATGCCAAGTTTCCTTTTGCTCCACGAGCCCACTAGGCTTTTTTCACTACAAGCAACTCAAGGTAGTTTATGTG